CAGTTGCAGCTTTGTCGCTGCGGCTGTGAGCGCCACCACGACATCCGGACACCCCACTTACACGTCGTACACNCATTAAATTAGCATAACCCCCTTCCCCTCCCCCCTTCACCCACCGGTGTTATCCAGCGCCCCCAGAACCCACAGGTTGTACATGGAGTTGACAATGTTGTCCCGGGGTGGGGGGTCCATGAACCCGAACTCGAGCAGGTCGTGCACCTGAACAGGAAGAGGGGGGCCCGTCCTCTGGTCAGATGAAAGTGCTCGAGTTGAGGTGGGCGGAGAGGGGGAGAGGAGGGAGATCAGGGTCACATAGGGGCTGCTGCAGAATTGTAAGCAGTGATTTGTTTGCGGAATATTTTCCGAATTCGGAATAAACAATTGTCCGTGGTCCTGAAAATTAGGAATACATTGTGTTCCGACCGTGCAAGTTCATTCCTCCAGCCAAAAATGGGCTGTCATGCCAAAGCCGCTAGAATCTTACAGGAGACATACAAAAACCCTGATCAGGGAACTAAGGGCAGACCACCACACGCGGAAGCCGTACTGACGCCCAGGAGCAGGGGGGCGTTGCCGACGGAAAACGGGGGGTCACTGAGGGGGGCGGGGAGCGGTGCGTCTCTTCCTCCCCCCTCCGCATCGTCTTACCTTAAGGCTCTTGAGCAGCAGTACGACATTGGCCAGGTTGGTCCGTTGAATTTCCGGAACATTCATGGCCAACATCTCGTGCCTTTGATTGTTTGGCGGGAGGGTCGGGAGGTGGGTTGGGGGAAGTGGAGGGGTTTGGGGGGAAAGACGAACCCCACGAGCGAATGAAGCTGCTGCCAGAAGGAAAGACTGGTGCGGCAGATATGCCGGAAGCATAACTAACCAGTCGGCGGTTGTGAAGGAGGAGTCCCTCGCGATAATGTAGTGATGACGACGGCGAAACCTACCTACCTAGCCGCCAAAACTAAAATAAGAGCGGAAGAAAAGCAGTAAACCCAAGCCGTAAAATAGTAAAGGGCGGCGAAAGAGTAATGAAAAGCGGAATAAGGAAGGCCGCCGGCCTGACGGCGGCATAGAAGAGGCTGGACCAGAACTGGCTGATGGGGCATATACACACACACACATCCACGCACCTGAACGCGCTTTCCGTGTAGAGGCGGTAGCAGGTCCCCGGCCCCGTCCTGCCCGCCCTGCCCGCCCTCTGCCCCGCAGCCGCCTGACTGATGGGAAACACTTGCAGTGCGTCCATGCCCATCTTGGGGTTGTAGACCTGAGCGGGGTATTGATACTCTTCTAATCAACTAAGTAACCAACTAGCGTCGACATCTTTCCCACAACTTCAAACGACCCGGGTTCAAATCCGCCTGCCGGCTCCTCGGGTGTTTGAGGAGTGATGAAATGGGAGGTGGCCCCCCATCATATGGAAGATGTAGGACGTGATAATATCAACTTGCGAGCTGACCAGGAACTAAGTTGATGCGCCGTTGATCCGCTAGATTTGGTTGGATGCTGGTGGTGAGTTGCCGAACCCAACGAATACATTCTGAAGTCGGATGGGGTGACGGATTAGGGTGCCCCTCTAGCAGGGGAGAGCAGGGACTGCCCCGGGAAAGGGGGCCGCTGGCGAAGTTAACCACCCCGTATACATACATACATACATACATACATGCACAAGGCACACAGACGTCCGTACCTTCATCTTGACGTATCCTGTATCGATGACGTACAGGATGCCATCCACCGTGAGGCTCGTCTCTGCGATGTTGGTGGAGACGATGCACTTGCGAACCCCCTCCGCGGCCTTGTCGAAGATCTTGGCCTGGGGGGGAGATAACCAAGAGGGGGGAGTGATACACCGGGAGGGGGAGAGGCCCTGGTGGCGTATCCAGTGACACATCCACGGACCTGCAGATCAGCAGGCAGCTGGCTGTAGATGGGCAGAATGAGCAGCTCGGGAATCTCACTGCCGTTACTGCGCATGTGCTCCAACCGCTCAGCCAAACTGAAACACGTGGCCTCGATCTCCTCCTGACCTGTATAGAGCAATGGAGGAGGGGGAAGTCGAACCACGAGCGAGTGAAGCTGCTGTCAGGGCAAGAGTGTAGAAGTAGAACTGACCAAAAGGCGTTATTGAAGGCGGCGACCTCGGGATGATGTAGTGAAGATGGTGGAGGTGGAGGAGGGGGGTAATATGCGAGATACGCGGTGCGAAAGGGCGCAACGGTGGCAGCAGCTAACCGCCACAGCTAACCAACAGGTGTCAACGGTTGGCCGTACTGCGCTGCAACCGCACTCACCCTGAGGCTGCTCACTCGCATTCGGGTGGTTGGCGGTTGCGGCGGTGCTTGCATCCCCACTAGGAGGAGGGACCCTGGGCCAATCCCCCGACATCAAATTAAGTCATGCCCCAATAAAATCTTCAGCTACCCCCCCCCCCCCCCCAACCCCACCCCCCCCGCTACCCTCACCCGTCATGAAGATGAGGATGTCCCCCGGACCATCCCGCAGGTGAATAGTGATGGCCTGGGGGGGAGGAAGGGGGGAGGGGTTCACCGGTGAACAGAGGGGGCCAAGAAGGGGGGAAAGACGAACCCCACGAGCGAGTGAAGCTGCTGCCAGAAGGAAAGACTGATACGCCAGATATGCCGGAAGCACAACTAACCAGTCGGCGGTTGTGGAGGAGGAGTCCCTCGCGATAATGTAGTCATGGTGAAAGCGGAAACCTACCTTCCTAGCCGCCAAGATTAAAGTAAGAGCGGAAGAAGAGTAGTATAGCGAAGCCATAAAATAGTATAGGTAGGTGTAAGGGCGGCGAATGAATAACACACTGACGTGAGGAGCGGACGAGGTGACGTAAGCTGGTTTTAAACCTGCTCGCCGGCCCCTGGTGGCGGCGGAATTGAGGAACCCGGACAAAACTCGCTGATAAGCTGCTGGCAATAAGCTGCTGGTGACATGCAAGTGCTCCTGTCACCCCCCCAACACGCGACCGACCCGACCGACCCAACTATCCCAGTCCGGCTATAGCCGACCGACGCAACGCGATACACCGACAAAGCACTCAAAGAACCTCCTGGGACTCACCTGGCCAGGCAGCAGAAGCGGCAGAGGCAAGGGCACATGCGAGGCAGAGATGAGCAAAGATTGTGAGCAGCGGGCGAGTGAGCCGAGAAGGGGCGCACACACACATACGAAAAGGCGTTAACGCCGACTACTTACTTACTTACGGCGCAACGTGTAGCGCTAGTGAACGAGTGCCGCGACGGGGGTAACAGCACGATTGGACCAAACCCCGGGATTCCCCCCGCCCCCGGGGGGCCCCACCTGCTTCACGGCCGCCTCCACGTAATCTTCCTGAACTGTACGACTCCAGAGAATGTCAACGGGGAAGGTACGACCTGTTGGTTATACGAGGATGTGTACTAGGTTGGTTTATGTGGGGGAAAAAGGGAGGGGAGGGGACAGGTGTGGGGTGAAGAGACCGTGCCCGGGGGCCGCTAGGGCCATAGGGCACGTGTAGCAACGGGGGCACGGGCGAGGTGTGTGTGGGCGGGATTCTATCTATACAAAGATGTGGGGGGTGGGGGGTTTGGCGGTGTTCGGGGTTCAGCCTGCGTCGTGTCCTCCAGCCCGCCAGGAGGAGGAGGGATCGTCCAGTGGGCACCAGGGGGGGAGAGGTAGTCGTGGTGGTTGTGGTTGTGGTGGTTGTGGTGGTTGTGTACATCATTTGCCCGATCCGGCCAGACATGGCAGCATACACACAAACACACACAGGTCGTCCAGCTGCCGTACACAGTAGGCAGATACCACTCGAAAGTCCGCTCGCAACCAAACAGCGTACGGCACGTCCAGGAACGTAACCCCCCACTTCCTCCCCCCTCCTCCCACCCGGGATTGTGAATATCGGCACTGATCCGAAGAAGTCTGAGAACTTCCTGGCGTCCAGGGTTGCGCTGGTGACGATCAGCTTGAAGTCTCGTCTGACATCCGGGGAGGGGGGCAGGGGAGGGGGGTGTATAGGGGGAATTGGGATGTGGAGGGGGGGAGGGGGCCGGCTGTGCGTATGAGCGGGAGTACGGCACTAAGGCGGGGGGTCGGCACGGCGGAAGAGGCGGTGTTGGTGGGTTAGAGGACAGCCGGTCCTCCCACAGTGATGATAAGGCCCAGTAGCCTTCCCTTCCCTTCCCTTCCCTTCCCTTCCCTTCCCTTCCCTTCCCTTCCCTTCCCTTCCCTTCCCTTCCCTTCCCTTCCCTTCCCTTCCCTTCCCTTCCCTTCCCTTCCCTTCCCTTCCCTTCCCTTCCCTTCCCTTCCCTTCCCTTCCCTTCCCTTCCCTTCCCTTCCCTTCCCTCCTACGAACCCTTAGCGGGCGCTTGAGGAACAGCGCCACCACCACCACCACCACCCGCCCGCCCGCCCGCCCGCCCGCTGCTCCCCGTCTCGTACCCTAGGCATTCGAATAAGGGGTTCCACTGCCGCCCAAATACATACATACGTACTCATTGAAGTCGCCCCACGCACCCCCCCTCGCCCCACGCAACCCGCACCAATCACCCCGTTGCGCCCTCAACCCCCACTCCTCCACCTGACCGCAGCCACCGTTGAAGCGCCTCCCACCGCTCCCACCAATGAGCCCCCCTCCCCTCTTCCCTCACCTCCTGCCCACAACCCTCTTCAGGATACCAAACAGTACATCCGTATTGAGCGACCTCTCGTGCGCCTCATCCATAACCACCACACTGTAGTTGTCAATGTCCTCGTTCATCTGCGGGAGAAGGGGAAAGAGGGAGGGAAGAGGAGGGAGAGGAGGGGCGGAGTGGGGGGAGGGAGGGACAGGAGGCAATGGAGGGAATTGGGAGGCAATGGAGGGAATTGGGAGGAAGGGGGAGGAAGGGGGAGAAGGAAGATGCAGGCGGACAAGGACGAGGGGAGAGTAAGGAGTCCATAAAACACAGGTGCGAGGGTAAACCCCCAAGTGTTCCCTCGGCAGCTCTTACCGACTATCTGCCACGTCGGAACCCACTCGCACCCCCCCCGTAATACGCACATACACACACGCACCCTCCCCTCCCCCTCCCCCTCACCAGTGTCTCTCTGAGCAGCACCCCGTCCGTCATGTACTTGATGAGGGTCTTATCACTGGTGCAGTCCTCGAAGCGAATGGAGTAACCCACCTGCACACGGGGCACCACCACCACCACCACCACCATTCGATGATGGCATTGCCAGCAACGCTCTTCACCCCAATCCCCACGTACCCTACATAAACCCATGCAAACATGCATACACACGTACATACGCAGCTCAACCCGCAGCCACTCATCCCGGTGTCCAAATCCAGGTCCCGACCCGCACCCCGATGATGATGATGATGATGATGATGATGATGATGACGAAGACGGGGTTGCTTGCGACAGCGGCCTGCGGGGCATCCCACAAAAGAAACCTTGAACCCCCGCCTCCCCTCCCCCTCCCCCTCTCCCCCCCTCTTTCCCCCCCCCCCCACCTCGGCCCCCAGCTCCACCCCCATCTCCTCACTGACACGTTTAGCCACCGACATGGCCGCGACACGGCGGGGCTGAGTGCAACCTGGGGGAGGGGGAAGAGGCGAAGGGGAGGGTGGGCGAAAGGGAAGGTCATGCCGCTCACGTTGCTCAAGTCAAACAATCATACACGTGCAAACAAGACATACATGCATAAATACAGACTCGCACTATCCAAAACCTCCATCCCCAACCAACCGCACTCGCCAATCTATGATGATGTTTTACATTCCGTCACATCACACTCGCTAGGTTGTAGCGCAACAGCCACGTCACACACATCTCTTCCATACCCACCCATCCCCAGCCCCAGCCCCACCCACCTATGATGCCGTACTTGGTGTACCCTTCCTCTCTCAGGTACTGGGTCATCTGGGTCGTCTTGCCGCTGCCGGTCTCGCCGACCACAACAACAACCTGGTTCTCGCGAATAACCTGCCGGGGAGGGGAGGGAGGGCATGTACGACAGTAGGACACGGAAGGGCGGTGGGTTGTGTGTGCACGTATGTATGTGTGTATATGTGTGTTGGGAGGGGATTAGGTACAGACTCATGGGTCGGGTCGGGTCGGGTCGGGTCGGGTCGGGGAGCTGCACCCGGTGGGGTGGGGTGGGGTGGGGTGGGGTGCCCGCAGCGAGGTGGTGGTGGTCCTGGGGGGAAGTTCGCGGCCCCGACATCAGCAGCGCGGGGATCACGTCTCCTGACTCCGCATGGTCATAGCCATGTTGTCGAGGGGATCATGGCGGGGTCAACCCACGTAACTGCTACGGCACGGCCCTCCTGGCCCCGCCTCAGAGAGCCACTCCTCACACCCGCCCCAACAACCCACGACCGGGAGCGGAAGCGCTTCATCATCATCATCATCATCATCCCGCACTCATTCTCACTCGGGGAAGTAGCGGCAAGTTTAACAGAGCTAGAGACGGTCTGTTTACTTCAAGACTTACTTTTCCGAGGTCACAACTACTACTACTACTAGTACGGCACGTCTTCGGCAACAACACCCATCGACACAACGCTGGATATCACCCGTTGACGGCGGCTATCGGCATGTGCACGATGCTGGTGGTAACGTTCACAGGAGAGCAGTTGCGTCTCATCGCTCCGGACTGTCCAACAGCAGTGCGCAACCGCTTTGGACGTGTCGGCTGCAGCTGCTGGTTTCCCTTCTTGACTTTGCACCATGTAATTCCTCTGCCGTACCTGCAGCAGGTCATCCCGTACAGTGTACACGGGCAGTGATCTGCGCTGCTGTTCGATGGTTTTGCTCCGACTGAACTCGCTCGCGGCCTGACTCTTCTTCATGTGGGTCCTGGTAGCGGGGGGGGGAGAAGGGGTTTAGGGGGTTTAGAGACAAGATAGGAGGGGGATGGTGGTGGGGGTGGTGAAGAACAGAGCAAGGGACGCTTCCTGTTGTCAGAAAGGGAGCCCGCCACCACTCAATCAGGGAAATCCCCTCTAGAGGGCCGCCTCCTCCCTCTAGGCCAAAAGCAGGACAGGGGGTGATCAGAGTGGCGGGGGACGGGCTGTGGAGGCTGTGGAGGTCCGGGTGTCACGGGGGGTGCGAGACTTTGGATGTTGGTTGAAAACACCGATTCAGCACTCTTGGGCGCCCCCCACACGGATCCCCAAAACGCCCTCCCCCCCTCTTTCCCCCCAATCCGGGCCCCCTCCTGCCATCCCTCACTTGAATTGGCTGGCCGCCTTGTAGTCGCCCTCCGCCTGCTGGTCCTCCTCCGCCCTCCTGGCCGCGGCCTCCTCAGCCGCGGCCGCCTCCTCTGAAGTCAGCCCGGTAATGGCAGCCATCTTGGAACCTGCGGGGGAGGGGGGAGGGGAAGAGGGGGGGAACAAAACCCACCTAGATAGATCACCACACCTCTCCCTAAGTGCACCAACACCCTCCTAGGACCCCACACACACCCCAACCCACCTGCTATCTCCCAGAACCGCTGCCGGCTCTTATGCTGGTCCTTCTTCTCTCGGACCTGCGGTTAGGTCCGGTCCGGTAGGTTGGTTAGTTGGTCGGTTGGTGCGGGCGGATGCGGTATCCAGCCAACAGATGTCATTCTTTCCCCTCTGTTTCCCCTCCCCCCCCTTTCTCCCTTCCGCCGACCTGCTTCACCAGCCCTGACCCCTTCCTGGCGATCACCGCCATATCCGAGGTGGGGTCCTTCAGAGGGAGCACGATGTCGGCCTGGAAGGGTGGGGGGGGGGTTTGGGGGATGGGGACTGTGAGGGGGGTTGAGGGGGAGGAGGATAGCGAAGCGAATCCGGCCAGCACGGGGGTCGGGAGAAGCTGGTGAAGGGAGGGAGAGAGAGCCGGATGGTGTCAGCGAACGGGTCCATGTACGGACGGGTTGCAGGGAGGCGGCTTCACCTAGGGGACTCGGCGGTACATATCATGCAAAGCAAGCGAGGCGCTTTAGCATCCTGACAACCCCTAGCACCTCATTTTGCGGCCTTCGCCTTCGTCGTCTGATCACTGCTTCGTCGTCGTCGTTGTCGTGGCTATGTCCTTGCGAGATTTCTGCAGACAACGTTAGCCAGCTAGGCTTGAGCTCTGCTACCACTGCTACCACTGGGACATCCGTTCAGCTACTCCAGCTCAACTGCACTACTACAGCTGAATATCAAGGGCCTCAACGCCAACCTCACGAGGCCAGACGACGACTACACCACAAACATATCGGTAACGTGATGGGGCTTCACCTCCGGATTCGTGAGTCGGTGACTTCATCATCGCGTAGATCTCACTGGGGGCAGTTTCGAACGTTGGACGCCCTCCGGGAGATCACCCATTGTTTCCTTGGATACCATCCCCCCCCTTCCTAGCCCCCCACAGCTGCCCCTCCGGCCCCCCCTCCTGATTCAGGCACCTGCTTGTTGTTGACCACCTTGCCCGCCAGGAAGGGCGGCTTGGTGTCATGCACCAGCAGCACCACCCTCGCCTCGTCCTCGTCTGTAAAGTTGAGGGAGACCTGCGGGGCGAGTGGGGGGAGTGGCCCCGCAGGGGGCAGGGGGGTGGGGGGGATGTGGGTGAGAGCGGCTGACCCACCGACGTGCGAGCAGTGCATGATGGCGCCTGCAGAGGGCGGATGGATGCGGTGTCATGTGTTTTGATGCCGTCCCCATTGCCCCCTCCCCCTAAACAAGCCCCGGTGCTCCCAATCGACCCCAGATCACCTCCCTCCCCTTTTCTCCTCCTTCCCCCCACCTCTTTGAGCCGCACCACCCCGCTGGTGATGAGCCTGTTCTCCTCCCAGGCGTTGAGGGCCTTATCCAGCTCATTGGCCCGCCGGGTGGCGGCAAGGGACATGGTGCTGCCGTCCTTTCGAACACGGCGTTGAAGGTCGAGAGTACGGCGCTGGAGGGGGAAGGGAACGAAGGACGGGGGAACTGAGGAGCGTACTTACGTACCTTACCTAGTGGTGGCGCTGCAAGGTGAGCCATGCGGCCAGATGCGGAGCGATGAAGCGGAGAGGGAGAGGGCCGCAGAGTCCATCCCAATACACACACACACGCGCACACCTGAAACAGGGCTTCATCCCCCATGAAGCGCGCCGCGGCGCCCTGCTCGTCAGTGCCCCCACCGAACTCCTCAGCATCGTACCTGGAAACGGGGGGCCGGGGGCCGCAAGGCGAGGTAAGGAGGAGGAGGGAGGAGGGGGAAATACACCAATGCAGTGCAATTCAGAGGAATATTCGTACATTCCGTTGGCGGCCCAATCCCCTGTACACCCGCACGGTCATAGCTCCCCGGGACTGGGAGGTGGGAGGGGGCCGCAGTAGAGGGCTGTGTGCGGAGAAACGGCCCCGGCGGCACCCGACAGTAATACCGGTGAGGGGCACCCCTCCTCCTCAAGGGGGAGCAACGCATCACGAAGAGGACCCGGACAGGTCGGTCTATACACTAACCAGCACGTCTTCACACACACCCGCCCCCCGCCCCCCCGCTCCCCCTGCAGTTCGTACTCCAGACGCCTGTTCCCCTGCCCCTGTCCCTGCCACCCCCTCATGAGGTCTCCCCCCAGTGTCCCCACCAGTCCCGCTCCAGCTGCCTCTCCTCCAGCTCCCTCTCCCTCACATACACCTCGTCGAAGGAGTCACCACTGGCACCCTCGCCTGAATAAGGGGGCAGTAAAGTGCGGGGGCCAGCGGGCCCGGTGGTGCGGGGCCAGGGGGGGGGCCAGGGCGGGAAGCAACCGGGACGAGACTAGGGTGTGAGACGCACGCGAGTCAAATACAATCCCCCCAACACACACACACACACACACATCTGACGATGACGATGAGGCCATATATACACAAGGCCTGGGTGCCGGGGGGTAGGGAGAGTGGGGTCAATGTCCCGACCTCGCCCCTTGTCCCCTTCCGCCCCCCTCCGGCCCCTCGGTGGCTCTGTGTGGAATAAGACCCTCCATTGATCTACGACCTCCCCCTTCCCCCTAGGGAGGTGGTTGTCCGACACCATCTTCACTACATCATCCCGAGGTCGCCGCCTTCAATAACGCCTTTTGGTCAGTTCTACTTCTGGTACACTCTTGCCCTGACAGCAGCTTCAGTCGCTCGTGGTTCGACTTCCCCCTCCCCCCTCGCCCCTCGGCCCCGCATCTCTAAGTCTTTCACCTTCGGGCCTCAGCTCCGGCGACCTCTCCACCTGCCGACCACCACCACTGCCACCACCACCACCACCAGCTGCTGCTGCTGCCGACCCACGGTTCCAACTGGCGCTCTTCCAGGAGGGAGTCAGAGCCGGGCTAGGGGCAGTGTCGAACTGGACACGACCAAAGCTGGGCCCGCCACCGCCACCGCCACCGCCACCAGCACCCGCTGTTCGGCCGGAGGACGGGCCGGCGGCGGCGGCGGCGGCGGCACCCGCGGGTACTGCCGCGGCGGGCAGCGGCGTGTCACCTCCGCCGGCCCACCCGCCTCCCCCCCCGCTTGCGTGCGAGGAGCGGAGTGCGCCCGGGCGTGAGGAACCTGCGAGGGGGGTTGGGGGTGCTCGGGTGAGGGGTGGAGGAGCCGGATGAGGGGACCTCGACAGGGTGCATGCCGTGCGGGGGGAGGGGTACACATGCACTGTACGACAAACCCGAAAGGAAGAGAGAGAGAGAAAAGGGAACATAAGTTACCGGGGAAAGAAAGGTATGTGCGTGTGTGTGTATGTGCGTGTGTGTGTATGTGTGTGTGTGTGTGTGTGTGTGTGTGGAAAATGGAATGTGGGGCGTTGCGAGCTTCTAATCACCACCACACCCCGCCCCGGCCGCCGGTAGGTACAACCCCACCCACTCCCACGTCAGGCGCACGGGACCTACCTCGCGCGCGCAGCGGGGAGCGCACAAATACATACATACAAACAAACACACCGAACTCAAATCCGCACCAGCCAACTTTTTGCTTACGACGTCTCATCCCTCCTTATCCGGGCTGTGGCGGGCTTCGTCGTACGTCGTATGCATGGATCTGAATTTCCCTTTAGACTCCCCCACCCACCGGCCAACCCGCTTGTAGCGCCAGCGCGGCCTGACGGAACCACTGGCGTCAGCGCCCACTCGTCGTCGCCGCCTCCATCTCGTCGCACAGGTGTACTGCTGTCCCATTCGCTGCGACGGAAGCCGCTGGCGCCGCCAGGCCGCGATGCCCGGTCGCCGCCGCCAGAGCTACTGCCGTACCGCCGGTCGCCTCCGTCACGGTCCCGGCCGCCCCTGTCGTCGTACTCGCGATCCCGTCCTCTGGTACTGCCGCCGCCACCACCGCCGCCGTCACGTGCACGCTCCCTATCCCGACCGCCGTACCGATCGCCGTACCGGTCGCTATCCCTATCTCGATCTCTGCTACTGCTGCTACCGCCGTACCCGTCTCGCCCCCGGCCCCGATCCTCCCCGCTACTGCCGCCGCCGCCGCCTCCCCTATCCCGGTCCCCCCCGTACCCCCCCCGGTCTCGGCGGTATCGCTCCATCTGTTCATGGAACCTTGCGTCAGACCGCTGCAGATCCTCCCTGTCGCCTCCGCCCCCGCCTCCACCGCCAGCGACTGGTACTTCCGCTGCCGTGGTGGGCGCCGTACTGTTTTGCTGTTGTGCTGTGGAGACGTATAGTCCTGACGCTCTCTCCCGGGCCCTATGTCTCTCCCGCTGTTCGGCCCGGGAATTCAGAACGAAGGAACTCACACCGCCTAGAGGTGGTTGGGAAAGGTGGTTGGGAAAGGTGGTTGGAAAGGTGGTTGGAAAGGTGGTTGGAAAGGTGGTTGTGTGTTGCGATCCGGTCCGGTCAGGGAAGCCGCGAGCCGACCAGGAATGGAGTTGGGCCGCCGTCGATCCGGCAGATTCAGATGGATGCTGGTGGTGCGTGTGGAACCTAAGCGACCCACTGACAAGTCGGCTAGGGTGACTAGATGAGGATGCCCCGAAAGACCGTGGAAGGCAGGGTTTCGCCAGGTAGCGGCCACGGGCGAAGATATGCCCCCCTGTCCCACACATCATACATACATACATACATGCAAATCCCACCTCCACTACTATTACTGGCAGTGCGGGCGGGAGAGGTACCGCACCTCCTCGCGGTACCACCTGCGCGGGAGAGGAACCACCGTACGACCTACCCGGATGGGAAGGGGTTTCGGAGCGCTGTCCCCGGAAGCGCCTCTCACGGGGAGGCGGCAGGCCGCCACCGCTACCGCCGCCGTCGCCTCCGGCCGCTGACGGGTTGATCGTCGCGCCGGTGTCCTCATCGTACGACAGCTTGACGCGCTTGACTGTACGTCAGCGGTACGATACACGGCAGAGAGAAAAGGGTTGGTCAACACCACCCTATACATACGACATGCCCAACAACTTCAAATATGAGCCAACGGGACGGAGGTGGGTGAGGCGGTGATTACGGATTTGCTGCAAGCCCCCCGGGGAGGTGGGCGGGTGGGAGCTCCAGGCCCCCGCACGCACCAGCACCAGCACCAGCACCAGCACCGCAGGCTCCCCAACCCGCTCGGGGCTCCGGAGTGGGACCTCCACCAGCTGTTGGCCAGGACTGTTCGTACGCGGGTGGGTGGGGGCCAGAGGGGTGCGCGGCTCGGGCCGCCCCGTGCGGCACCCGTGGAGCTCACCTCAGAGGAGCTAGTTCAGACTTCAACTTGTCCTTCATATGTGTTCCCCCCGACACCCCCCCTCCGACGGTACCGTTGCGGGAGAATACATGTTGCTGGCCAACGGTCAGTGTACGACATGCAGCATATACGGTACACACCTCAGGCTACGGTTGTACGAACCTATCGCAGTTAGTTCTTTGCCCCCACTTCCCTCCCCCCGCCCTCCCGGCCGCCCACCACGTACCCCGTATGCGGTCCGACCCCCCAGGCCCAGGACGACCGCTACCCGCATCACCGCTCCCCGGGAGTCCCGACCCACACCCTGGTGGCCACAACATCCCTGCAGGCCCGCACCAGGTGGCCACCACTCGGGCCCCCTACCCACTCACCTTCCCGCTCCGCCAGTTCCACCCTCTTCTGGGCAGCTAGCTTGTCCAGACCTGCGGGGCACAGACGGGGGGTTGGTACACAAGTGGGGCGGGAGGGCGGAGGGTCAGAGTAGGGTACAACGCCCAAGTGAAGCCGTTTCCAGGAAGAGACTCCGCTGGTGCGGCTACGGGAAGGTTGCAGCACCAGGCCCAGACAAAGTGCAATTGCAGATGTTTAGTTCAAGGTGATTTTGATAACGAAGGATTTGAGTAGTTAGGCCGGGTACGCAAGATGGCGACTATGGGTTGAGCAGCTGCTGCACGGCGGATGACGCGGACGCAGGAGAGGTGTGGGTGCTCTCACCGAGGACGGAGGTCCTCGGAGGGGGAGCCTTGAAGAGCGGGCGCTCGGGCCGGACGAGCAGCCCACCCGCCTCGTCAGTCGGCGGGTCCATTGTAAAGTTGGACGTTGGACCGGGGTGCCGGTCTCTGAAGGTCTATGGAAGCGTCTCTCCACGAAAGGGTAACTACGTCAGCTCTACGGTAAAAGTCATGTAAACGGATTCGGACTGAAGTCCAGACGATTCAGGCGAAGAGCTTTTGCACTGACAAAGGATTGAAAACAGAAACAATATTTTGCATATATGTGGTAATGCCCACATCTAGTTCCTAGACGCCATGGAAAACAAAATGTTTCCATGACGTCCTGCAATGTTTTCCGTAAAACCTCAAGTTGAGGAATGGGAAGGACATCATATCTCTTAATTCGAAAGTCTTAATTTCATGTAGTTGTTTACCATGGGGGCTTAATTCCTCTTGGGGCCTAGCTTGACCAAGTTCCCATGATGCAGCAGTCGGCGCTGCGAGTTGCTTGGGGCCTGCAGAATGCACGCGGACCTTTACCATCAGCACTGCAACTGGCCCTTTTATCGGTTGCGGACGTACCCATACAAGCAGATGCTGTACCGTCATCAACGTTAACCTTTAGCCACATCTTGAGTCCGGCATGGCGCAGTGTTTCCGCTTCAGCATCTGATCCGACAGTCGGTTGCATTAGCAAAAGCGCGGTCTGGGCACGGCGCAATTCGTCCATCGTCAGCGTCGCATCAGCCGCGCGCCCTGCCGCCGCGACGGGCGCACACGCAATCGAGATCGTGGTGCAGGGCTTTGAGAAACGTTACGTCGACATGGCCTGCAACACCCTCGATGATCTGCTCATGCTCGCCTTTGCGCCCAAAAGCTTCGCCGCGCTGCCCGTCGGTTCGCCATCCCCCGCCGACGCACCCACCAACGTCGCCTTGGGCGCCATCAGCCGCCGTGTTGTGCGCCTGCCGTGGCACCGCACACGTTTCACGTTGCTGCGCAGCCCCCACATCGACAAGCAGGGCATGGAGCAATTTGAGCGGCGCGAGTACAAAACAGTGCTCACTGCCGCCACCAACAGCGATGCGGAGCTGCGGCGGCTGCTGGAAGCCATCAAGATCTATCAGTTTACCGGAGTGCAGATCCGCATAAGCTGCACCAGTGCACAGCAGGTGGAGCTGCCCGGGGACCTGACCCAGATTCTTGCGGGAACGGCTTTGCCACAGCCATCTGCGGCGGTGGAAGCGGCGGCTGCGGCGACTCCGGTGCGGCCTCCACCTCTGCCTGGCGGCGGTCAGGCTGTCCTCGGATCCCCCCGCGTGGCGCTGCCGGCACCTCGAAGTCCCGAGGCGCTCTTCCAGGAGGAGCTCACCTCCGTGCTGCGTGTCCTGCGGCCAATGGTATGGACGGGGCTGCAGGCTCGGCGGCGGACGTTAGACTCCGTACCGGAGTTTGCGGCATGGAGACAACGAACATCGCAGCAGCAGCAGCAGCAGCACCGGGGGTTTCGGCCGCCAGCGCCGGTCGCGAGTGCGATACCCGGGTATGAGGACGACACTGGCGCGGTGGAGGATGAAGCGGATGCAGCAGGCAGCAGGACTGCGTACGGCAGATTGCTACGACAGAGAATGCGGCAGCAGTTGGAGCTGATGAAGGCGACACACCCAGCGTCGGCGGGGACGCCGGAGGCGCTACAGCCAGCAGCGGCGGCATCTTACGGTCTGGATCCCGCTGTAGCAGCAGACCTTCTGGCACGGATAGATGCGGAGCTTCTGAAGGTGCACGAGGCGGCTCTGGGCGGGGGGGGAGCGCCGCCGCCGGCAGGGGATGGCTTTACCGCTGCCGGGGCCGCGGCGACACCGGTGCTCAGCGCCAGCATGGTGTCACCCGCAGAGTATGTCTACGCTGTACTCAAGTATGCGCAGTACGTCGACGCGCTGTACGAGGCCGCCGGTGCGGCCGAGGCGTGTCGACGTGCCGACGCGGCGCTACAGCTGGCGGCTCCTGGCGCAGCGTTGCGTCTGTTGCAGCTCTGGTCCGCCGCAACCAGTATGGAGTTCAAGCAGCAGCTGGGTCTGCCCCCGGCGGACGTTGAGAAGCAGATTCTGGAGGAGCAGCTGCGGAGGGAGGACATGGTGAGGGCGGCGGCTGCGCTTACGAAATCCGGGGGAGGCGCAGGAGGTGCCGGCACTGGCGGCGGCACGTCAGCACTGCCACTGGCCCTTTCAGCGGCGGCTCCTGCGACTGGTCGGGCCTCAGGCGGCGGCCCAGGTCCCGGGGCAGGGCCAGTGGGGGCCCCATCTGCGAGGTCCGGGGGGTTTCAACCTCGGGCTCATCCTCCGGCTCAGGCTCACGGACGGGCTCAGCGGTCTAGCGGTTGGGAGGAGCAGCTACGGCGGGAAGGGCTGGACCAGGCGGAGGGGTCACGGCAGGGTAGCGGCCAGCAGGAAAGGGGGCAGCAGCCGCCGTCCCGAGGGGTGCTTGGGCCTGATGAGTCTCGGTAGACGTCTGCTGCTGCTGGTTTGGCTGCCAGAGGCAAGAGCGAGTGAATGCGCTTGCTTAGTGCACTAGTGCGGGTGGTGGGGATGTGCCAAGCCGCAGCCTGCGGTATCATTAGGGGTCCAGTGAGAAAACACGGATGGCGTGGCACTGCAATCCTGTATCTATGTTTGTATGTGTGCGGTGGATGGGTCTTGTAGGATTGCTGAGGCGGTCTGTGGAGGTATGAGATGGGCTGCGTCATTCCAATGCGGAGTGGGTCGGTATTTAGGCCTGCCCATCTCCTGGGCTGGCTGATGGAGCGGACGGCGCACGATGTGGCCATCATGTGCACATCAGCACTGAAAGGACCCTGGCGAAAAACGATCTTATTTATGGGCTAAGACTATGCAGCGGCGGGGTGGGGGAAGGGGTGGGGGCGGGGTGTTGTCGCACCGAACAGTCCGCTGTGTTGCTGCCTCTGGGTGGGACTTGGTTTGGTGGCGGACGGAGGGGCCCAAGGGGGGGGAGCTGCGGTGCTGCAGTTGGATCGGCTGAGGGGATAAGAGTCGCACAAGAGTTTACTAATACCATTGTGCCAAGGGATGTCCAAAGCAGCTGCTGCTCAGCGCAGAGTGCGTCATGTCCAATCCCAGACAGCAATTAGTCATCACAAGTCCCGCGGGTGCAAAGGCGATAGTTGTTATTACAGGTGGTACAGCTTCACCAGTGGCCTCCTTCCCGAGGCAATTCCCTGCTCTCCCCTGCTAGAGGGGCACCCTAATCCATTCACGCCATCCGACTTCAGAATGTATTCGTTGGGTTCGGCAACTCACCACCAGCATCCAACCATATCTAGCGGATCAACGGCGCCTCAACTTAGTTCCTGGTCAGCTCGCAAGTTAGTTATCGAAAGGTCAATCTAAAGCCGTACACACTTATTCCAGACCCCCAAGGGATTCACGTTGGATTTCTTGCCAACAACCACCCTCTGGCTGCATGGCGGGATTGGCGCCCCCCCCCACTACCGCGCTTCGTCATCAGCCCTCTGGGAAGCAGCAGCAGCAGGGCTTGGAGGAAGGATAACATCTTATAACGTGATTGGCACAGTTGCCAATTTGTTGTTTACCAAGTCCTCCTCGCCTCAACAGGTGATACAACCTCAACACCCCCAACAGCTCTCCAGCTACATCGGCAACAGAACACCCACATTCAGAGCCGCAAGTGTTTAAGAGTTGTTGGCGGCTCCCATTTCTGATGACTGACTGCGGTTCCTTTGGGTGGGTGGCCAAACTAGTTGGCGGCTGCGGCTGCCCCTGCGTGAACCATCCATCCTGACCTACCCTGTACTAGGCTTACAAGCTGTCGTGATGAGGCGTAGGAGACATGCTGACTGAACGGTAGCAAAGTAATTGATGCGTTGTAATCCTGGGGTCCCACTGTTCTGATAGGCTTCGGACCTGCTGAATGTTAGGGTCAGCAAGCCAACTGGCCATGCAGTTTGTAGTATACCGTAGTGCTACTTATAGTTCGTGATCGCTTTGTTCGGGGAGGGGTCAAAAAACTTTCTGAAATTTGTACGTGCTTTTTGAATTTCGGGGAAGGCCGGACCAGATTTTGCGGGCATGATACAAATTTCGGGGCCCCTTCCAAAGTTTCGGGGCTTTTCAAACTGCAACTTCCAGTCCGTCTCCATCCACCGGGAACCCTTAGGCTCATGGTCTCTCACCATTTTCGCACTTTGGAAACGCCCTAGCAAATTCTGGACCGATCGCACAGTTCAGTACCAGTGGCAACGACCTAATAACCAGCCGGCCGGGCCAATACAGTGTTTAGGTGGTTGCTACTGAAACGTGTCTTCATGTGGCTAAAACCCCGACGTAAAAGGCATTACCTCGCCTCGCCGGCTGCCGTAGCATTGACCGCATTGCGCTCGCGCCTAGCAACCTCCTCGTGCTCCATTCGCTCACGCTGGGCCTCGACAACAGCATCATCAAGCCTAACTGGTGCAAATCCAGCTCGGTCGCTCACCGGAGCGTTTGGTGCTAGCGGTTTCATCCCGCATTGAAGCAGGGTTGCCTGTCTTGCACGTTTTCCAGCGTTGTTCATGTCCTACGTTTATGACTATATTTTATGTATTTAAGAGCTGATTTCCGCCTTGAAATCCTAGTTTTTGCGAAGTTTGATCGACCGGCTTCGGAGGGTACGATATTTCGGGGCTGCGGTCCCTTGGGATACTTTAGAATTTGTACGTGCTACATATTCGTGGTGCCTCCCGAATTATTGTAGCACGAACTATAAGTAGCACTACGGTAAGTAAAATTAAGATCCAAGGGATTAAACTGCGATTCAAAGCCACGGTTTACACAGTATGAGGCACAACTAACAAATGCCGGGTGTACTTCTAACCCGAACTCCATTTTGCACCAAACCCCTCGATGGCCTGCTGTGCATTATACGGGCACCGCTAATACCACTAACTCCTTAAGCAGTTGGAGAAATCGATTGGCGTTATGAGATAAGTGTGCCCCAACAAATCAGGAACAGCCACAGACCTGCCTGCAACAATGTAACATCTGGCAAATGGCCTCTAATCACAACACGGCAGTATATATCATCAGAATTCTGGATTGGTAAAGGTTTGGCACACCACCCTGGCTGTGTCGTCTGTCCGGGCACATGGAGACTCTTCACACAAACCCCTCATGGTACCCGCCGCCCAGTAGGCTCGGTCAGAACACCCCCTTATCGGCCTCATAGGCTTCACTACGGCCATAGGTGCAACAACGAGCCCCAAGGCCTTCCACTGGGAGCTCCCGAGGAGACTTCCACTGGGAGCTCCCACGCTCCGGTCACCGCGCCACCTGGCCATGGAACTTGCCATCCACATCGCCCGTCGCCAACTTCTAAAAGGGTCACGCGGTCCGTGTCCCAGCACTGTGCATCCGAGCACATCACAATGCTACGTCGCAGCAGAAGGCCGCTGTTCCGTGATCTGTCCACCAGGACGTGACAGGCAACAGCGATTCGTCAGGCATCACGTGTACCCGAATTGCCTGCCCAAGTATGCCCTAGCAGTACAGATACGCAATACGAGCCTCACCTGAAGGATGCATCTTCTGCTGCGGCTTTCGCTGATCACGCCAGGTCCAACCCGCCGCCTGCGATGGCGGGGCGCGATACCGTTAATACCCTAAATGAGGCGACGTGCACGAGCGTCAGCGGGTTGACATAGCATATATGGCGCCCGGTGAGATAGACAGGAGTGCGTGTCGCAGGACAATCCCAGGCCCCTCCGTCGAAAAAATTCCTCTCACGCGCTTTCAAACACAGCACGGCTCCTAGTTCCAGAACCTTTAGTAGTCTATGCGAATTAAAATACTACAGTGTAATTTCAGTAAAAAGTAGTAAAATGCTTCCTTTCGACGCGCTTCTTGATGCAGGGTGCTTTCCCAATTGAAACTAACTGTGCGGACTACGGGAACACGGGCTTCACGCCATCATAAAATATATGCATTTAAAAAACGCGAAAGTCTGTTGGTGCGGGCCCTATGCCAAATATAAGGCGAGTGCCGATGCCGATGTCTCTGGGCTCGCTTGCGTTACTGCCAGCCGCCTTGTCCCAGTAAGGGAGTCTTAACCCATTTCCCTTTCCATGGGCAGCGCAAATCACGCTCTTCACACAGGAATGTCTCTGAATGTCCAACCGCCCAGATCACTTCAAACACGCCCAGCCTCCATAATATGAACCGCTTTAGCCAAGCAAGAAAAATATTCATAGAAAGACTAGTACACGCTTGAACAGCGACTGCACCAATGAATGGTTTTATAACATACCGTAATGACAGGAAATGTTCGTGTTTCTAATTTCGTGACGGCATTATGAAATTATGTCACATATAAATTACAAGCTGTTCCAGGCGATGGTCGTTACGAATATATGTGTGCTCCGAAGCCAAATCGTACAATGCCTTCAACACAGTACTTACTATTTAGATGCTGTTAGCAAACTTGGAGGCGAACTTGACAGCACCGCGTTTGTTGAAGTACTCACTCCTGCCTGTTCATCAGCGTTGGAGAGGGCTTTTTGCAAACGGTGCCCAGCACCCAAGCGTGTGAGGGAAGAAAAAGATGCGCCCTGGTGGACCCAGGAATGCGCAGCGGCACGCAGCGACATGTTGCTGCAGAAGGCACATATGAGGGCACAGGGACTACTTGCTGATTAGCAGGCGCTGCAGATCTTTACACTCCTGCGCTCTCGCTACCAGAGGATTAGGAAGCAATGCGAACATCCGTGATATCATGCAAGTGGATGATCAGCGTGGTCTTGCAAAGGCAATTTTTGAGATGTTTCGCTCCCGGCATGAGCACCTAACTACTTAACTTTCTCGGCGGTAACAGGCAATTGTGTGTCAGAGTCAAAGTGACGCTGTTCTTTCTCATAAACACCCGTTTTCTTCTTGCGTAAAACTTTCTTTTTCTGTTGTTAAGCAGCCCCTCGCACAAATGTGAGGGGTCGTACTGTGCCGAATAAACAGACCGTACAAAATGGCCCAAAGACAGTCCCGAATTTTAACGCGCGGATGCGCGCGTGCGATTCGCAAAATGCGCGTGTACAAGTGTATATAAATTTTCTTAGAAGAAAGGCCGCGGTGCGTCAGCGCGTTGCGCAGGTGGGCATGTTGGCCACAGGCGCACGCGGCATGCAGGCTGGACTATTGCGTGGCTGCTTTGCAGTAATTGAAATCACAGAAAGCAAACAACGTAGCTTGCAAGACTGGGCGCTTGAAACGACCGCGGGAAGAGGAAGCGTTTGGCGAAGCGGCAGTTTGCGCAAGCAAACGGGCGCGGATTCGGTAGTGCAACGTATACAGCACCTTTTTCAGAGTAAAGTCAAATTACAAAGTTGCGCAAAGTATAACATACATAAACTTAATTAAACATAAGAACAGATAAGACGTTTAGAGCCTTGTCGGTGACATGGACACCGCTGTTGGCTTGGAAGAGCTATTTGCTGTGCATAGGGACGTGCCCGCGTTAGCCGTGTTGCAACAGCTCAGGATGGATTTCAGCCAGCAACAGCCTCAAGAGCTGCTGCACAACCACCGGGAATGTCTTCAGTTGGGCACGTGTAGTTTGGTCGGCGGGGTCGAGTATCGTACGGATTGCGCACAGAAACCAAGGTGCAGCGTCTCTGTAACACCGCCAACATATCCGGTACGCGGTGGCAGGCTTGCCGAGCATGAAATGAAGGGGGGGTCGCATCTCACCATTCAACTAAGCATGCATGTGCTCGGTTGAATGCTCGGTAGCGTGCGAGTTTACCCCTATCAGGATGTTTGTTTGCATATCCCTCCAGCGAGAGGGCTTAGACCTATGCTGATGTTCGTTCCAAGAAGTGAACTGAGGACTGATGCTACGGTGAAAGGTATGCACGTCAATTCGCCCGTGCGCCAAACACCCTGTAACTCGCTTACGCTAATCTCACATTCCAATATGCCACTGCACTTTCCTCTGCAGCCTGGCCCCATTCTCTTCCTCGCAAACGTACTTGGGCACCTTACAATCCAACACCATACATGCTTTGGAAACGCGGGCAGCTGCTTCACAAGGACCCCCCTATTTTGTTAAGCAGCCCCTCGCAGAAATGTGAGGGGTCGTACTCTGCCGAATAAACAGACCGTACAAAATGGCCCAAAGACAGTCCCGAATTTTAACGCGCGGATGCGCGCGTGCGATTCGCAAAATGCGCGTGTACAATTGTATATAAATTTTCTTAGAAGAAACACCGCGGTGCGCCAGCGCGAATCGCAGGAAGGCATGCTGGCCACAGGCGCACGCGGCATGCAGCCCGAACAATGGGATGCCTGCTTTGCTGTAATTGAAAGCACAGAAAGCAAACAACGTGGCTTGCAAGACTGGGCGCTTGAAACGACCGCGGGAAGAGGAAGCGTTTGGCGAAGCGGCAGTTTGCGCAAGCAAACGGGCGCGGATTCCGTAGCGCAACGCATACAGCACCTTTTTCAGAGTAAAGTCAAATTACAAGGTTGCGCAAAGTATAACATACATAAACTTAATTAAACATAAGAACAGATAAGACGTTTAGAGCCTTGTCGGTGACATGGACGCCGCTGTTGGCTTGGAACAGCTATTTGCTGTGCATAGGGACGTGCCCGCGTTAGCCGTGTTGCAACAGCTCAGGATGGATTTCAGCCAGCAACAACCTCAAGAGCTGCTGCACAACCACCGGGAATGTCTTCAGTTGGGCACGTGTAGTTTTGGTCGGCGGGGTCGCATTGCGCACAGAAACCAAGGTGCAGCGTCTCTGTAACATCGCCAACATATCCGGTACGCGGTGGCAGGCTTGCCGAGCACGAAATGAAGGGGGGGTCGCATCTCACCATTCAACTAAGCATGCATGTGCTCGGTTGAATGCTCGGTAGCGTGCGAGTTTACCCCTATCAGGATGTTTGTTTGCATATCCCTCCAAGCGAGAGGGCTTGGACCTATGCTGATGTTCGTTCCAAGAAGTGAACTGAGGACTGATGCTACGTAAATTCGCCCGTGCGCCAAACGCCCTGTAACTCGCTTACGCTAATCTCACATTCCAATATGCCACTGCACTTTCCTCTCCAGCCTGGCCACATTCTCTTCCTCGCAAACGTACTTGGGCACCTTACAATCCAACACCATACGTGCTTTGGAAACGCGGGCAGCTGCTTCACAAGGACCCCCCTATTTTTGTTAAGCAGCCCCTCGCAGAAATGTGAGGGGTCGTACTCTGCCGAATAAACAGACCGTACAAAATGGCCCAAAGACAGTCCCGAATTTTAACGCGCGGATGCGCGCGTGCGATTCGCAAAATGCGCGTGTACAATTGTATATAAATTTTCTTAGAAGAAACACCGCGGTGCGCCAGCGCGAATCGCAGGAAGGCATGCTGGCCACAGGCGCACGCGGCATGCAGCCCGAACAATGGGTGGATGCTTTGCAGTAACTAAAAGCACCGAAAGCCAACGTCGTAGCTTGCAACTCTGGGCTCGTGAAACTGCCGCGGAAGATGAAGCGCTGGCGAAGAGGCAGTTGTATGCAGCACCTTGTTCAGAGTAAAGTCAAATTACAAAGTTGCGCAAAGTATATCATACATAAACTTAATCAAACATAAGAACAGATAAGACGTTTAGAGCCTTGTCGGTGACATGGACACCGCTGTTGGCTTGGAACAGCTATTTGCTGTGCATAGGGACGTGCCCGTGTGCAACAGCTCAGGATGGATTTCAGCCAGCAACAGCCTCAAGAGCTGCTGCACAACCACCGGGAATGTCTTCTGTTGGGCACGTGTAGTTTTGGTCGGCGGGGTCGAGCAGCGTACGCATTGCGCACAGAAACCAAGGTGCAGCGTCTCTGTAACATCGCTAACATATCCGGTACGCGGTGGCAGGCTTGCCGAGCACGAAATGAAGGGGGGGTCGCATCCCACCATTCAACTAAGCATGCATGTGCTCGGTTGAATGCTCGGTAGCGTGCGAGTTTACCCCTATCAGGATGTTTGTTTGCATATCCCTCCAAGCGAGAGGGCTTGGACCTATGCTGATGTTCGTTCCAAAAAGTGAACTGAGGACTGATGCTACGGTGAAAGGTATGCACGTTAATTCGCCCGTGCGCCAAACGCCCTGTAACTCGCTTACGCTAATCTCACATTCCAATATGCCACTGCACTTTCCTCTCCAGCCTGGCCACATTCTCTTCCTCGCAAACGTACTTGGTCACCTTACAATCCAACACCATACGTGCTTTGGAAACGCGGGCAGCTGCTTCACAAGGACCCCCCTATTTTTTCTTTTCCCTATCGACGGCGCTGTCAAGTTCGTTTGGGCCGTACGGCTCGCTGAAGCTTGTAACATCCATCCATCCATCCATCCATCCAGTATTTACTCGTCGAGGAGACAATACCTGCATGCTTTTCACGTGGTTCGCGTGCAATGTCACTGGAATCTGGTGTTTGCTGGTGAGCAGAATAACCGTGCATGCATTGGCCAGCTTTTGCGTCAATCGGCGTTCTGAGTCGGATCCATTTACGAACATTGCAGGCACCGTTGCTTCGGTTGCGTTGGCTTCTTACGAATTCAAAAGTTTCGCCAATATTTTCGGGTGTAATTTTGAGGGTGTCTCGAACAATAAAAAGACGAACATTTCCTGTCACTACGGTGTATGGTTTTATAACATATACCTCATCATAGTGCACAGTCAGAACTAGTATGTAACGTGCTCGTAACGTGCTCGTAACGTAAGCGAAACATCTCATCTACGACCTTCGCAAGACCATGCTTTTCATCGACCTGCAAGATATCGAAGACACTCGCGCTGATGGGCACATCTAGATCCCAAAGCTTCTGTCGTACCTGCTTTAGCGCTGGGCACTCCAGCAGGAAGTGTTTTTCATCCTCGGTGGCTCCGTCGATGTCACACGCCGCTGAAAGGAACCGGACCGCTCCTAACAATCGGCTGACTTTACTTCCCGAGGCGCTGGCGTAAGCTTAGAGGAACGAGATTGTTCAACTCGGCTTAGGTTTACAATCTTAATGATACCCAGGCAACGCCCAGAGCGTCCAGGAAGTCTACAAACCATTACAAACCAAAGAAACGAACGGTGTGGGGCTCATCGGACTCTCCCGTCGCACCATAAACCTTGACCCGCATTTCCATCCACTCATAGCAGCGTTTCATCACATCCAGCGCGGGGCCCTTAACCCCACCTTCCTCTCGGCGCACCCAGAGCAGCTACTGGCTAATCTGGTCAAACGCCTCCTCAAAATCAATTTGGCAGACAAAAGCGCATGTCCCGGCTCCGCAGCCTCCTCCCCATAAATTTTATAATTGCTGTCTAGAAGAAGCGCATAAAGTTTGGAAAGGGCCCCGCAGACAGACAGCCCACGGCAATTGCTCGGGTCCAGTACGTCATCCTTCTTGTGATTGGTGTGAGAACCGATACCTCAAACTGCTTGGGGTAGTCCCCAGTGATGTGCTCCATCACATCAGACACAACAAATAAGGCGCAAGAACCCTCTCCTCCTTATTAACCTTCCCTTCCCTTCAAAGTAGCATACTTATAACACTCAGTGGGGGCCCTTTCGAGTCCCGGTGATTTATTGTTGCCCAGCATTTTAAGCGCCGGAATGACCTCTGCCAACGTGAACGAGACACTTAGAGCTGCCGCCGCGACAACTCTCGGGTTTCGGGCTGAGCTGCCCTCCTCTGCCCACCCGCGCGACAGAGTAGACGGGCGACCCGTTGATAAGGTTCACAACACGGTCAGCCCTCTCCTCATTGAAAGAATTGACCTCGTCGTTGTAAGACGCGAAGGTCGAAATACTCACGCCAGCTGTTGACACATGGTTGACATCACGGATAAGGCAGTCAGGCTGTGCACCCCCTGATTAAGTCGTCGCCACAGCGCCGGGGGTGGATCCCCCACGGATAGAGCAATCCTCCAGGAAAGACGTAAAATGTGTCACACGATAAGCAGCTACTTCCTGAGTCTCTGGTAGCGAGTGCGTAGCATGGTAAACAGCTGCCGCGCCTGCTCATCAGCTAGGATTACATGCACCCTCATATGCGTTTTTTTGACATGTCGCTGCGGGCCGTCGCGCATTCATCGAGGGCATCCTTGTCCACCCTGACCCGCCTTCCGAAACCCATTTCCAACGCTGCCGAGCACGCCTTGGTGAAGACCTCAACAGCAGCAGTGAATATCTCACCTTCCCAGCACACATCCCTATCGGCGACAAGTTTGCTGAAAGCTTCGTCTGGTTGGTTGTTGTGATCGTACACAACTGCCTGTTACTAATTTCGTTCGCGTATAAAAGCGGCTGCACAGCCCAGAAAGAACTAATGCATTAATAATAATAAGTTATTGGTTATATTTTGTGAGCAATTTGATAGGCCGCGATCTCCTTAGATCGCTTTAGACCGCGCTCAGCCGGCGCCAAGCCGGCGATAGGCTGCTCCCAGCCGGCGTTGCCAAGACACTATGTGCACGTACTAAGAATAATATTCAATCATATACAGCTTCGGACGATTAGTAAAGCACAGGCTGGTGGTGCCTGAGCTCACCCTTTGGATTGCAGGTAAAACGCGTTTGCTCTGCTGTATGCCGTTCATCAGATGGACCATGACCGCATGATAAATATGGTGTTTGTGGAACGTATCATTACAAAAGCTTTTTGGGGTTCGCTTGGGGCCGTCGACATACCTGCGTCGCTGTTTTGTGGACAGGTGATCACATCGTCGCATCTGGCCCTGATCTGCTCTGGTGAGGGTGTGGTAAATATTATAGAGGACGATTCCTTAGTCGCGCGCTTTTTTCGACACTGCGGTGCACACACGCGGCGGTTGAATGATGGCTGTATGTGATGCCGGGGAACATAACTGCACGCACAAAGCGGTTGAATGGCGCCGTGGGGTAATGGCTCTGCGCCCATTGTTCAGTTAGGTTGGCATGAGTCCGTGTGCTGCTTGTAGGTGCGCTTGCACCTGCACATCTGCGCGTGTCGAACATTTTGTGTGCCCAGCCCAGCCCTATGGCAGCAGCATCTTGGTACGTGACTCCATCCATTGTCATTGTCGATCGTAGTAATATTGCTTGGCTCAACGTCATTTTACAGGACGAAAGCCGCACTGATAAGTGTTTGCTGAGGTCCAAGTCCTACTCCTACTGCGGGTCACGGCAAGCGGAGGTACAGCGGCGGCCGCGGGCCTGCTTCAACCAGGATGCCCAAGGCAAGCAGTGCCGCCCGCCAGCCCAAGTGCACCGCGGCAAGGGCGAGCAAGAAATGCAATGTTGTCTTCCAAGCGGCAAAGGTGAGCTCCACAGTCAGTCAGGGGATATAATGGGCAGCATTGCAGGGTAGGTGGTAGCAGGGTGGGTGGGTAACTCTTTCGTGTGGTAAAGTAGCGTAGAATGACGTTGGTCGTGGCAGGAGTTTGTTAATTGTTTGGCCATTACCCTACCGGGTCCTTTGACCCCTTCTTTTACCCTCTCCGCCCCCATCGCCCAATTTGTAATATGTGTGTGTACACATATTTTGCACGTATCCACATCGGGATCACGAACAGGGCAAGGTCGCCAGTGATAGCGGCTCTGCTGTCGGACTGGGCTGCTCCGGGTCCCTGTCGGCCACGGACATGGCCAGGATCTTCCATACCAACGCCAAGGCGGCAGGGATGGGAAAGAGCTCAGTTTTTGTGGACGTGGGATGTGCGCTGGGAAGGTGAGATATTCTGTATTGGGTGCTCTATTCATGTACTGTGAGCCGTAGTACTGTGCGGTACCTTGCCGTGTTGCGCCGGGTCCCTTGTATGTATGTATGTATGTATGTATAGGTCCATATGCGTCCTTGCATTGCAGTACATCTTTTATTTTGTGGGTTTATGCATAAGGATGTATTTGCCGCTCTCTCTGCCGCTTCTTTTATAGCTGTGCTGTATCTCTGCTTCTGCTTCCGCTCCCGCTTCCCTCTCTACCCACTCCCTCCCGCTACCCACCCACCGCCGCTGGGGGCTAGCAGGCCTCTTGTCCTTGTGAAGCACCAGACCGGAGTCCGGCGCTGCATTGGCCTTGATCTCGACGTGAACAAGCTCCGGAATGCAGACCGATTCATTAAGTTCTGTGTCAGCCGGCTTCCAAAGCTTGAGGCCAGCCACTTCACGCTTATCCTGGCCTCCGTGAGCCAGGTAGTGTTGGGGCAGTGTTGGGGCAATAATACAGTTTGCAAAGGTGTTTCTCCGGGCAACTCAATCGTTGGGATTTTTTTACATAGTCGCAGTAATTTTTTCGTTTAGGACCGGTTTCAATTTATTCCAACCTAAGTCACAAGGTTGCTAGGGTTGTCGTCCTTAATTGTGAGGCCCCCCCCCAGACCCCCCCCCCCCGATAAGTAGAACTCCTCTCGTACACCGAGAGTCACGCACTGAGTTGGCGCGTTTTCGTTCGTGTGTGCACTCTTCGTGCACATGCGTAGATAGTTCTGGCACTGTTTGTGAGCAGTAAGTAAAATCGACCAAGCAAAGGCCCAAAGCAAGCAACCGCACAGCGAATCACAGGCCGTCACCCAGGTGGCTGTTTGACGTTCGAATTATTGCCTTGTGCGTGTTTGACTATGTGAGGACCGGTCACTTTGGACTCGCACCATTCCTACGTGGCCGGCCCTTTCAGCTCGTCCTGCTGCCGTACGACACCCTTGTCCCTGTCGGCCCTGTGTGACCCTGTCGCCCCGATGACCTCACTGACCTCATGTTCCCCACGGCCACCTGCCTGGTGGCCTTCGTGATGATGAGCTCCCTCGTGGTGTCGTGAAGGAATAGCTACACAGGAAGGAATAGCCGCATACCCACAGTCCACAGCGCCGCTGTCAACTGCGCGCTACCAAGCTCTTCATGTGCTATCCCAATGCCTATTTCTCTCTGCAAACCTCAGTTTATCACTATTATTATATCTCATATTCGCACACATTTGCCCGCGCACAAATCCCTCCGGTGTGTTTGTGCAGGTGGGCATTCTGCCCCTGTGCCCCGAGTTTTTTTATACCTTTTGGGAGGGGTGGTCCGTGGCGGACAAGATGCACTTTGCGGAACTGTTCATGAGACATGGTAGCCGCAAGGTATGTCGACTGGACGGATTAGCTAACGTTGTTTCTACTGCGTATGTTTGTGTCTTGTGTCGTGCATCCATTCAAGGAACAGGAAACAGTCTATACCGCCGCACATAGACAGCAATCTTGGTTCAGGTATTGGCCTTCATGCCACCTGCTGTGCGACTGGAAGTGAAGTGAAGTGGGTCAAGCTCGTATCAGGTCGTATCCCGATGTCCACCGATGTCCACCGAACTGGCTACCGCATGGGATGACTACTGCCCACTGGGCCGCCTGGCACCCCAGTAGTGGTAGTCGTAGACTGCAACCACTGCGGGTTTGTATCAGCCACCGTTGTTATGGTGGTGGTTAGGTAAACAGCCCCCTTCATTTCATCCCCTGGCAGCGCCCCCAACCCCAACCCCAACCCCAACCCCAACCCCAACCCCAACCCAGCCAGTTGCTGCTTTGATTCAGAACGATAACCAGGAAGCTAGTCAGCCCCCTCGCTCCCCCTTGTACCGTCACCCACCCCCGGGCGCGTAAATTTACAAAAATTAACACTCTAGGGAATCACGGTCGTGCAATACAGCATGCCCGACCCGGAGGCGGAGATGGAGCTGCTGGGGTTCTGGGGCCTTAAGCTCGTCGCGAGGGAGACCAACTGCCACATGCACGACAGTGAGCTCGCCGTCGAGGGCTGTTACTGTACTTGTTTGTGTGGATCTATTTGTCTATGTGCGGGCATTAGTGTCGGTATATATGTGTGTGCGCACGCGTTGGGGGTGGGTGGGAGGCCGGCGGCGGAGGGCAGAGAGTGAGCTGGTTGGGCCAGGTAGGGCAGGTTGGGTGTATTTGGGCCGTAGAGCGCTGGGTAAGCGGGAAAGAGGAAGTTACGGCACAGCACGGTTTTACAATTGCTTTGATTAGTTGTCATAACTTTGCTCAACACGTACATGTGCCCTTTGTCCGCCCGTTACTTCTTTAACAGGCAACAGGACCATGACAGCCTTCGTGTTCAAGGTGGTCATGTACAAGAAACCTGACAGCAGCAGTAGCGGCGGTAGCGGCAGCTTGGCCACTCAGCCCCAGCTGGCCGCTGGCACTGCCGCCGCCGCCGCTGGGCAGCAGGAGGGGGAGACGGCAGCAGCAGCGGCGTCCACCTCCTCGCCGCCCCTCACGACCACCGCCGCGTGGCGGACAAACATGCTGCCTCTGCTGCGCAAGGCCCAGGAGAAGCAGCAGCAGCTGGTGGAGCTGGTGGGGGCCGTCCGGGGAGGGCGAGGTCCTCTCCTCAAACCCAAGGAGGTGGAGCAGTTGAAGCTGTCCGTCATGGGAGAGCACGCTGAGAGGGAGGTGCAGCGTGCTTCCGAGGTAAGACCGGAGGAGTAAGGGTTGCAGAAATAGTGGTTAGTATGTGCTTGTGTCTATGTGTGTGTGTGTGTGTGTGTGTGTGTGTGTTCAAACCACAACCCGAACTACGGCCTGCACGGGGGCCTCTCATATCACGGAGCCCCAAGGAGATTATTAGGTCAAGGAGGTTATTAGTACAATAAGAAATAAGTGCTATACTACAATCGACCCCCCCCTTCTTGGTACATACTTGCCCTTTCAGCAGCTTTCACTCCTTCGTGGTTCGTCCTTCCCCCCCTTCCCTCGTCAGCCTACCCCTCCTCGCGCCCCTCGCTCCCCCATGAGGGGGAGCTTTCCAACCCCTCACGCATCCCACGCCATGTCATGTGTCACGTGCCCTCATATTCCCCTTTCCCTACCTGTAGAGGGCGTACGCCCGCCCATGTAAACACGACCCCGTAGTCTGTGGTCGCGTCAAACCCACCTCCACACCTCTGCACACTTGTACCCCCATACCAACCCTAAAACTGAAACGTTCATTTTATTGTTATCTAATTTGTCCACAACAGTGCAAGTGCACATTCGCCGTCTTCTTTGTTCCACTGCTCCCCTCCCCTCTCTAATCGTCGCGATGTGCGCACACACACAATGTGTGATAACATGGACGTGCAGTTCAAGGAGGTCGGGTTCGCACCAGATTACGAAGTCAACCCGCACGGCGTCATCCGCCACAAGGTCACCCACACCCCTGCCTTGCTCAACCGGGGTAATGATGGGCATCTGTATGCGCGGCTTGCCGTCCGGCGTGGCAGCGGCAAGGGCAACAGCCCGGGGGGAGGGGTGGTGGAGGAGGAGACGGGTGATGAGGGGGAACTGGCCACAACAGAATGTGTGTGGAGTGGGGCGGAAAAGTCCAAGGATCACAAAATGGCTGTTCGGACAGTGGTAGCACTTGCCCATCTGCAGGGTGCGCAGCAGGCGCTGGTGCTCACCCCCGGGGGGACGCAGGTTCGGAAGCTGTCTAGGAGCACTGGGATCCGTGTGGCACACAAGGATGGTGACATGGACAACAACTGCGTCGACAACCTGGAGCTGAGGGCGCGGGCCCGAGGAGCGGGGACCAGGAGCGGGCGGCGCCCTGCTCGTGGGGGGAAGGGTGAAGCCATCCGGGAGGGTGCTGCAGGTGGGGCTGCTGCTGCTGCTGCTGGTGAAGGAAATAATGAGTGGCTAACGGGGGCGGGGGCGGGGGCGGGGGAGGAGGCAGCAGGGGCAGCGGGGGGCCCCCCGGCTGATGATGGGGGTAAGATGATGATGATGATGGAGGAGGAGGTTCGGCAAATCGAGGAGGCGGCAATTGCGGCAGAAGGTGGAGGAGGAGAAGCAGCAGCGAAGGGCGGGAGGGCTGGGGTCAGGAAAGGAAAGAGGCGGCGCGTTATGTTGTCAACGGGGGACCATAACGGGGCATCAGGAGCTGCCGAAATGCCGACAAGGGACCAAGAACCGTTATTGCCACCACCCCGGCGTTCGAGGAGGCTGCAGGCGGTGTCCCAAATTGCCGACAAAGCTGGACAGCAGGCTACCCTCCACATGGTAGTCAAGGGCAGCAGTAAGCCGGTGGTGTTCAAAGTGGGCACGGGGATGGAGGCGCTTGTGGACAAGTAGTGGTGGGGGTCGGGGTGGGGGTGGAGGTGGGGGGTGATGATCCTGTAGTTGTATGACATGGTACGTGGGCAGTGACCATACATGTCCGGGGTCAGGGAATGAAGTGGCCGATGTATGAGGAGGGAGTTTTGTACTACGTGGGGAGGGGGGAGCCGGGAACGGAAGTTCCGAAACAGGAGCTGGTGGCTTGAAGGGCTCCTTTGTTTTGTACTGCACACCACGCTTTCATGTGACGACCTGCAGACAGCGAATTGGGATGCTGGATTAAGCATGGCGCCAATGGTCTGGTGGACGGTTAGAGTGAATCGCCGAGTGTACCACAGGCACACCAGTCGCTACATGGCGTTACGTGCCTTACCGCACACTTATTGATAAAAGTTCAGGCGCTCCGGCAGCAATGCTGGTGCCGCAGTTAGGAGTGTTGAATTTGCGGATAAGCGGCGTTGCGGCCCGTGCATTTACGTGCGGCGCGTGTGAGGTACTGCACACCTACCACGGCCTACGCCTCCTTCCCGTTTTGTTCGTTACACTCCTCCCTGTGTTCTTCTGTACATCGTCATGTCCTCGGTAGATTTGTGGATGTGGGGATGTAGATGTTACACTGGGCATTTTTATTATACTCCCACATGAGTCATGTTCCTATACCCCTTCTTCTTTGCCGCCTTTACTTCTACACGTCACCACTACGGTTTCCGTTCTTTTTCTACTTGCATAGGACTTCACTCATCGGCGGCTAGGTAGTTTTTTCTGCATTTTTCGCCTGCGTTTTTTGGGCTTTGGACGTGTGCCGTATTGCTGGTACAAATATGCAGTGCGCAAGCGTACGTAGGTATGGATGTGCTGCACGCGCACATACACACCTAAACGGATTCCTCCGCAACTAGGGGGCGAGCATGGTCGGTAAAATTTGTGTAGACCGAATTCTTCAACCGATGTTTTGAGGGCGACGATGCAATCCAGGAGAGAATGGTTCAACACGCTGGTTAGCTTGGTTGGAACTGGGTTTCACTGTATTTGTTTTATGTGTTGTCCCTAAGCAATCTTTGCTTGCTAGCTCAAACTACTATGCATATTTGTCGGGGCTGCTGTATGTGTGTATGTGCGTGCGTGTGGAGGTTACAAATATTTGACGCGTTCTCACACTGCTGCCCACAGCCCCAACGGACGTCTGAACTCTCTTCCGCAAACGGGAGAAGGGCGTGAGAGACTTCTCTTCGCTCTTCTTCCCCGATGTGTGTCTCGGTAGGTGGGCGGCGGGCATTTTGGTTTGTTGCCGAATCCGATGATGCGTTCTGCGTCGTGTAGACTATTATCATATGCTCAAGTGGCGGATGTAACGATTGACCGTTGCTTGCATCTTCCCAGACCATTTCTTTACTGGATCCGGTTCATAGGGGTTCATAAGAAGAAACCAGCCCAACGTATTTTATCCGGCACTGCTCTTCTGTCTCTCCGATTCCGGGATTGCTCGTGTTGGTGCTCATTTGTGTGGCAATGTCGGGCTAACAACTGCAAACTTTCTACACTCTTTCTACACCTTGCCAACATAACAACGCCAACGACTGTGTACTTGTATCGTCCAATCTACCAAGGTGGAATGCTGCGGTGTGCAGTAGAGAGGGGGGACATCGGCATAGGGCCGCTGGCTACCTGACGTTGCACATCCGCCCATGTCCCTCCCAACCCAACCCTATGTCATCCCGACCTCCTGATTCCCTGCAGGCCAGATTCCCCGATTGGCTCCCCCTCGTACAATACACCCAGATGCCACCAACTCAACATCCGCCCGTACAACCAACCCTACAAACAAATCCATCGATGAACACAAAAGGCGGAGTGACGTCGAGCGGAGCCGGATTTCCTCTGTCTTGCTAACACGGCTCTGCACTGACTCGAGCCCTCTTCGGCAGCCGACTGTCTTCCCCCCCTGGAGTGTTGGCTTCCCCCCGTACCGCCGCTCCCTCCTCCGCCGACGAAACCCCCCACAGCGGCCCCTGAGGTGCCTGCTGCACAAATGGCGCCGCCGCACCCAGCACATCCAGCACGGTCATGCTAGGTACGGCACCGACAGCTGTAGAGCCGTTGCCATACGGGTCGTCGGCACCTGGCACCACAGCGTACCTGTTGGGGGGCGTGTATGTGTTTGCGGCTGTCAGGCCTCCACCAGCACCACCACCGCCCGTGTGGTTGCGGTGCCTAGTGGTGCAGCTGTCGGGACGTAGCCGCCAGGGGCGCTATGGTGCATCATTAGTACTATGCGATGATGGCATTTTCAACAGAAAGGGAAACTTCCGCATCGACGAGTGTGTTGCTACATGATGCCCGTACAACAGGCCGCGGTGCTGCATGAGTACAGGATACCGACTCAGTGACACCCCCTCGGAGGACCTACCCTCCATATGGTTACCCGGGGGGTGGGGAGGCCTGTCATCACCCAGGGGGCGGTGATGCTGGTGGTGGTGGTGGTAGTGTATAAATGTACTTCCTAACCCCAGGGACAAAAATCGACATCTTTCGCTGAAAGGCCAGGCCAGTGGTTGAGTCCCATATGACATCAAACGACATCGTGCGTGTGCAGCCCCCGACCCCCTGCACCGACCCTCGCGTACATACCGACCCTTAACCCCCACACTGCCACTCACCTGTCTGCGGGCGCCACGTACGCAAACATTCCCGCGCCGCCCATGTCCTCACCCGCCGTGGCGAGAATGGTCTCCCTTCGCAACATCCCCCGACTGAGACTGGCCAGTAGTGTAGGTTCGTAACTGCGCAGGGACATACTGACAAACAGGTGGGCAAACAGCTACGAACAAAATGATTGCACGACGCCAACGTACATTTCGTACATGAAGTAGTGTCAGTTAATTGTTGAGCATGCACGCATCAATGTCCCTCCCTCCCTGCTTCCCTCCCTGCCTCCAGCATTGCAGTCCACTTCCCCACCTACCCGAGGGGGGTGTCGTAGCCCAGCCCGCACCCCACCCCCTTCTTGCGCCCATAAATCCTCCAGCCCAGCTACTGAGGAGAGACCACCAGCCCGCCAACCAAGCAGCCCGCAACCCCCCCGACCTGACCCCTGACCTGACTGCAACGCACGGGTTGGCTGCCCTCCCAGAGGGCCAGCGGTGGGAATCTACTCGGTGGGCATCTGGGCCTCCCGGGGCTGAACAGGCGGGCCAATTACCCCCCCAACCCCCCCTCCGGCCCACATCAGCCCGCTCACAGGTCTTGTTCCGCTCCATGTCCCAGTTGCCCGTTGACCCCCCTCCCCCAGCTGTACACCCGGCCCCCCTCCGTGACCGCCACCGTGTGCCGCCAGCCGCACGTCACGAGGCTCACTCGCTGACCAGCCAGAGCGCCGCCCACCAGCACGGGGGAGGGCCGGTCAGACGAATCACCCAGACCTAGCTGACCGAACTGATGACGGGAGATACCAGAGGGGGGAGGACAGGGCGGGTGGTACTTTGTGCAAGGAGGGTGGAGCTAGGCGGGTGAGCGAGGCGGGCGGAGAGAGAGGGACCGCGAGAAGTGTGCGAGTTAGGAGGGTCATTAGTGGAGACACGGCCCAGGGGGCCCCACGCCCCCCTTCATCACATGCCATGCCATGCCAGCACCACCCGGCCTTCCCTTATTCCCCCCCTTTCCCTTCCTACCCACCTCGTTCCCCCCTCCTGATTACCTTGTTCCAACCCCAGCCGTACAGGTTGCCACTGCTATCCGCCGCCATGGTGTGCCTCCACCCCCCCGCTACTGAGCTGATACGGGTGTGTCGGAGAGCCGCTACCTGGCAGGGAACAGTACGATCGCTGACAGAGGGGGCGAGGGGCGACCGGGGGGAAGGGGAAGCCCAGGTAAGGGCGGGAGGGAAAACACAATGCTAAGAGGAAACGTAGGTGGATGTACGACTGTGGAGCGGCAGTTACGGTTGACAGGTTAAGGCAAAATGTCGCGCCACGTCACGTCGACAGGATGTGTTCACTGGTGTACAGAGACCTCTGCTGCTGCTGCTTCTGCTGCTGTGGAGGGGGGTGGATAGGTACAGGAGTGATACACGCATCCCGTCAGTCGCTAGGCTCGCGAGGACATGAAACCAGCCGAGGTGTGACCCAGGCCAGTGGGTGGATAGCTTCTTCCTGCCCGGGTGTTCCCCTGTCTCTCTCAAACCCCTTCCCCCCTTCCCTCCTTACGTGTGGTCTCCATGCCCCAACTGGCCGTACTTGCTCCACCCGAAAGTGAAGACCCGGCCGTCCTCCGAAACCACTGCGCTGTGCCGCCAGCCGCATTCCGCTGATACCATCCGTATACCCTCCAAGCCCACCACGCGAGTGGGCAGGTACCTGCAGACGCCGTACAAGAAACGTACAGCCGTACAAAGATGGTTCAGATGGTCAAAAGGAGATCCGGTAAATGCATGGTTGGGGCATACAACCCTAGCCAGGGATTACTCAAGGGGAGCGAGGGGGGGCGAGGGAGAGTTGTGGGGATGGCCGAATGGGTTCCCGTCCCGTCCTGGACAACCAGGGGTGGACAGCAGACAGACAGACAAACAGACAGACAAAGAAGACCGAGCTCGCTGCCAAGGAGGCAAATAGCCGTACTTACAAATGATATGTGCGTACTACATGTTATGCCATTACGCTTCACATTGTCGTACCGGTGGTGGTCAGGCTCTTCACCTCCCCCCTCCCCCTTGCACCTAGTCAGCTTCCTGGTCGGCTCCGCCGCGGCCCCAGGGCCCCAGTCGCTGCTGCAGCAGGTCGCCCACCCGCAGCTTCCCCGCTAGAGGGGTACACAGCCGAGTACCGGGTACCCTTCACCCGCCCCGCCCGAGCTAGCAGGGCAGCAAACAAACCACTCCCGCCCGTTAACGCCCCCTGCTGCCCACCTGTCCTGGGACTCTCCATCCCCCAGGTTGCCGTACCTGCCCCACCCCCAGGAAAATACCTGAGCGGGCCCCGGGGAAAGGAGGGGGAAGAGGACGGAAGACGGGGGAGGGAGCGGGGGGAGCAGCTCACGTTCTCTATCAGTGGTCAGGTGTATCATCCGTGTCCCTGTCTGTACTACTATTCAGCTATCTGTGTCCCCAAATCCCATCCGGCTCCAGAACCAAGACTGGAACCGCCCCATTCCGAACACCCTCCATGGCCCTCCGAGCCCTCTCAGTCTGGGCTCCCCATTTGTCATCCTGTTTGACGTATCTAAGGGCCATCGAACATGGATAGGTGCATGGTGGGCTCGGGTTGTACCCAACCAACCTACTCCCCCCCTCCCCGGCTGCTGCTTGCCCCCGTCCCCCCGCTACTACTGACTGCGTGCTGCCACCACAACTGCATACGGTCACTCCCAACCACACATGTCGCCAACTTGATGGGGACACTTGCTGGGCTACTTCATACCCGACATCATGAAGCATAAGCCCCCCTCCCCCGCTCACACACACACCGTTCCACTTTCCGTGGCCGCCAGGGAGTGCTCCGACCCGCAGGCCACACTGCGAACCCGCTCACCCTGCGGAAGGGGGCCGTCATGTGCACATGTGTGTGTGTGTGTCTCCCTGTAATTAATGTGCGACACGTGCTGCAATAGCCTGAAGGAAACAACCAAACGTGAGTGCACCCCCGCACCTGCGGGACCCCTTTCTGTCCCCCCACCTGCGGGCCCCCCACCGGAGTTCACCTCACCTGGAGTGCGACCACCAACTGCGGTGACAAGCAGTCGTTGGTGTGTCCCAGACCGAGCTGTCCGTTCTGGTTGCGGCCGAATGTGAAGAGCTCCCCCTCCCCCGCCACCACCAGCGTGTGGGTGTCACCACACGCCACACGGTGCACCGGGCGGCCCGAAAAGAACTCTATAGGCCGGGGCACGAACACGTCGTTGCAGTCCCCATGGCCCAGGCGACCAAAGTCACCCCTGACGAGGGTTTCATGGCGGTCGTGGAGTCGGACCGGGCGGGGCGTGGGCAGAGGAATTACATGGTGCAAAGTCAAGAAGGGAAACCAGCAGCTGCAGCCGACACGTCCAAAGCGGTTGCGCACTGCTGTTGGACAGTCCGGAGCGATGAGACGCAACTGCTCTCCTGTGAACGTTACCACCAGCATCGTGCACATGCCGATAGCCGCCGTCAACGGGTGATATCCAGCGTTGTGTCGATGGGTGTTGTTGCCGAAGACGTGCCGTACTAGTAGTAGTAGTAGTTGTGACCTCGGAAAAGTAAGTCTTGAAGTAAACAGACCGTCTCTAGCTCTGTTAAACTTGCCGCTACTTCCCCGAGTGAGAATGAGTGCGGGATGATGATGATGATGATGATGAAGCGCTTCCGCTGCAAGGGTTGCAGCTCTACCGACGACATCACTCAGTGAAATACTCGCAGTAGCAACGGCGACATTCCGAAGGCCAATAAATGTGGGGAAAAAAGGAAAGGAGGGCTTCGGAAGTTCCGAAAGCAGAGGCGACGGGAAGCCCCGTGCGCGCGCGTGTGTGTGTGTGTCACCATGCAATGGCACGGCGTGACTAGATATATGCACCTAAGGCTAAAACCTAGGAAAGAAGAGAAAAATGTGAGAAATAATTGGAAGGAAAGAAGGTAACATGGGGAGAAGAAATGGCTTAGGGGCTAACGGCGGCAAAAAAGACAGACCGGGAACACTGATGGGATCAGCGGGCCTGAGCGACGTGGGCTTCTGCAGGAGTCGGTCTGCCAAACCGCCTGCTGACGCTGGGGCTCCTGACTGACACTACTGACCTGTCTGTCCCTCCCACACTGCGGACTAGCCAGCTGGTCACGTCCAAACCGGGACATTTCCCCCACCCTCCTTCCCGCGTGCTGCCCTCTGGCTCGCTGAGCAGTAACTCAACAGGCACGAGGCAATACATACGGCACATGTGCGGCACATGTTGCCTCCATAGCATTGGAAAGAGGGAAGCAAGTGGAGGGCACATGAGGAGAAATGAGAGGGGGCTAGGAAAATATTGGGAGCGGCAAGCAAAGTCGATGCAGGTCGAATCCGCTGGCCCAGTGACCATGAGTCGGTCGGCAGGCGTGAAGTGAAGCAGTTACCCTCCCTCGACCTTGCCCCGGAACCCCACTCCCTGGCTCACCATCCCCAGCTGTAGACTTGTCCTCTGGATGGAGCTACTGCAATAGTGTATTCTGCTCCGCAGACCACGCTTTCAATTCCAGCATCTGTCAGAGTGCTGATGGCCTTCGGTGCGAGACACTCGTCCGCCTGGCCATGACCCAGCTGGCCATCCTCACCACGACCCCATGACGTGACAATTCCGCAGCCTGCAACGGTGGCACGTGCAGCGCACGCCACGAGTGCCCCAGACGTTACAAGTCACGCTTGCGTACATTGCCATTATACCAAAGATGAATAAGATCCCAAAGCATTGGCAGTTAACCTGAACTGAAGTAAGCCCAAAGGCTTAGGACTCACTAAGTATGGCAACGGAATGAGACGAGCCGCAAGACACCGCCGTTACACCTGGCTCCTCCTCGCTGCTCCTGGCCTCTGCGGTCTCCATATCTACCTCATCAGGTAAGTTGGACTATGACTATTAGAGGCGGCCGCTTTCGCAAATTTGCGTCGGACACGTGCACAGATCTACTGCACAGCGTTTTAAGAGCAAAGCGTGCCTAATAATTCAAATCCAGGTAGTAATAAAGGATAAGGCAGAGCAGCTAGATGCCCTCGCCTTCCTGAATCAGTCCTTGTTCGACGACACGATCGGGAATGCTGCAATGACAGCATACAGCAACATTATTGTCTGGACAGACGGCTTTGCACTTGGCTAGCGAATTCCGGGGCGTCGTACCAAGGGTACGGTGCCAAAACTTTGCGCAATCTCCTCACGTAGCGTTTGCCTGACATACGATATTTTCCCATAAACAAGAAATAGGCGACTATGCTATTACTGGGGCCTACATTCATCCTCCCTGTGCCTGCATTCGTCGGAAGCGGGCATTTTTCTAGCCAAGTTCTTCACCATGCGACAGTAGCACATTCAAAGGTAAATGTATCCTTTACCCTAGGTAATCGACTTGGGACAGACGCCTTCATGGAGTGGAAGGACTTGGGGAACGCAATTTCTACGTGCAACTTGTCGCTGTCCGTGGGGATTAAGGATACGTGATGCAGCCATTACTTTGCTATCCAAGTGCTCAGTGAGATTTACAAACAAACAACTCTTGTTTCGCTATCGATTGACTTAGTGTTGCCAGTTTGTAACCAGGGACGTTTCAAGTCCCAGCCCCTCACTGATGTACTCCTTTCTTTGGAACCCCTCAATAATAAAATCTTTCACTTTGGACCTTAGCGCCTGCTGGAGCAACGTCGCGGTTGTGAACGCTATGACGATGCTGTTGCATACACAGCTTGGAAGCTCCAGAAGCGCATCAAGAAGGACGTCGGCTACAGGGTGAGATAGGGATGACGAGGCGAAAGCTGGGCATGAGGGTTATGAAGGCAGGCAGACGAGCCGCCTCCGTACCCTCCGTGCAGACTTGGTGCAATCACACCACGCTATGTGCGGCCACAGGCATTAGGTCGTAGACCGGATCCCCTTCGGCTCCCTCGCCTGGCAGCTGTGCATCGCTCACACATACATACATAAATAAGGGTACTTGCTTGTGGGAAAAATGTGTGTGGCAGCTGCCAAGCAGTTTGGCTCAGTGTACTGACTGAGCGAGCAGTGGTACATACAATACTCATACATCGTGCAATGGCACATACCATTACATGGGAAAATGTTGTTTGCATCGCTGCAGTGGCGTTGCTGTACAGGTTGCGCTGTCGAGGGCCGTGAGTCGTGTTTCACCTTCCCCCGGATGTTGAAATGAAGCACACACCCACTGTACTGCAATCAACATCACCCTCTGGTCAGTGCCGCCCATTTCGGTGTCTTTTATTTCTGTGGTCGCTCTGCAGATTTGGGCCGTGTACAACGACTGTACGACAATGTACGTGACGTACTGGAAGCTGTGCTATTTATTTTCGATGCTGTCACGTGTTGTGGAGGCCCTGGCGGGAAGCTCCCCATGATGCGATCCTCCACAACAACAAGTACCGGTAGTAGTAGCAATAAAGTCGCCCAACCCGGCAATAAGCTGGGGCCTGGGGGTGGACAATGCGGCAGATGGGGGCCCTGCTGCACCCGCGTAACCCCCTCCACCTCCCCCCCACCCAAGGGAGGGACCACAGCTGAGGGACTGAGGCAGGGGCCCACCCACCAAAGGGCTTCTCCCTTTAGCGCCCACCCGACCAAATTGGCGCAACCCATTGGCAGTTGTGGCAACCAACCGGCAGAGGTCGTTCTACACACGGGCAGGGTTAGGAGAGAGGAGGAGGAGGATGTAAGCAGGACTCGTGATATGTTGCATGGCCTGAGAGAGGCCCAGCGAGGGACTTGAGGTACAAGAGGTCCTTGATGGAACGTCCTTCATGTACCTGAGGCAGCTCACCCGCGCCTTTCACTCTGCATGCTGCTCACATACTCACGCTGTGTATTTATATTTTTCATTCGCACATGGCCAACCCCACCGTCCTTTTTGTATGGTGGATTTACATGTCCGGCCGATGAAACTGGTTGTACAATATCAAAAGCTTCTTTGTATTAATCCCTAGCATGCATTGCATTATCTGACATGCATACATGTACAAGGATAGCGGTAATTGCTTGGGTGGTTGATTTGCATCTTTTTTTTGCTGAGAGAGGTTGAGAGGGTTTATCATTTAGCTGGTGGAGGGATAATCTCGTCATGTGTGGATTAGTATTGTTGTCGGGGGGTACCAGCTACCAGGTGCACATCTGTCCAACTCCAGGGAGCTCGAGGGGGAGATGACCCCCACAGATTAAATTACAACGTCTCCTATAGTATATAATAGGAGCATGTGCGCTGTCAGAAAGCCAAGAGACTGCTGCTGATGATGACAAGTACTGTACTGATGGTAGTCGTTTTTAGTAGTCATAGTAGTAATCTTAGTAGTTTAAGTAGTAGTTTAAGTAGTAGTACTCATCTAGGTTCAATAGATTGCAGGCTCATCATGCTTGGTGTCTCAAGGTTTCTCATATGCATATGATCGATGATACTAACATGCAACAACTACTGGCTAAAGGGTTACCCCAAGCTTGCAGGCTCTATTTTTGCCTTTTAATGTATGTGCTTGGTGCCCGGGGTTTAGGGATTTTTACTACACTGGTATGCCACAACAACCAGGAACGTTACCCCAAGGTTACACACATACATTTTAAGCTTTTGGTCTTTATGTGTGGTGCTGTAAGGTTGCATTTTTAACTGCAGCTCTCAACCAGTGACCATGAAATTTGAATCCTGTGTGACCGGACGGAACATCGGTAACCCCTCTTCAAGTGCGCGCATGGTGATCAGGTTATATCCGCTGAGAGCATAGACCTGCCTTCTAACCTGACCATTGGGGTGAAAAAACAATAACTCACACTTTTGCACGTTGATAGTGAGACCGAAAGCCTCTGACCACTCCGCAGTGCCCGTAATAAGCTCATCAACCGTCTGAATGACATCGCAAAGAGGCTCAAGTCACCAGCATAGAGGGATAGGGGCACTCGACGTCCTTCAACGCTAGGGGTGTCATGGGCCGCCATGGCGTCAGGAAGTGCGACGTCTAGGGCATCAATGTAATCTGCAAAACCTTCGACCAAAAAACCGAAGAGCGTGAGGCTCATAGGGCAACCCTGCTTGACCCCTTGGGTGGAGGGAATCGCCTCTCCTTTTGCTCCATTAACCTGGACTCGCATTTCCACCCGATTGTAGCAGCGCTTGATGACATCTAACGCAGAGCCCGTGACTCCTCGTTCCTCAAGTCTAACCCAGAGCAGCTCTCGATTAACCCGGTCAAAAGCTTTCTCAAAATCAATCTGGCAAACAAACAACGCTTGTCCGGGGACGTTAACAAAATCCTTACGGCATCGGTCTGTGAGGTGTCGCACCAAGAACAAATTCTGAGTGGTGCCGCGCCGTGGCCGAAAGCCACCCTGATAAGGGCTCCGCGCACCACAACGTTCCCCCCAGGCTTTTAGCCTCCGGTCGAGCAATAACGCGTAAAGCTTAGACAAAGCCCCACCGACGGCAAGCCCCCGGTGGTTTTTAGGATCCATGACGTCGCCCTTCTTGTGGATGGGTGTGAGGGCGGATATCTCGAACTGCCTTGGGTAATCCCCAGTCGACCGGATATGTTCCAACAGACACAGCAGGTACGGTGCAAGCACCATCTCTTCCTTTTCGCCCACCTTTCTAGTGGCATACTTATAGCACTCAGCAGGGGCCCTTTCAAGTCCTGGGGATTTATTGTTGCCCAGCATTTTTAGTGCAGCAATGACCTCTGCCAAGGTAAACGGGCACTGAGGGCCGCCGCAGCTGCTACTCTCTGATTTCGGGCTAAACAGCTCTCACCAGCCCAGCCGCGCGGTATTGTAAGTGAACACCCATTTACGAGGTTCATCATGCAATCCGCTCTAACCTCATTAAAAGCGTTGATCTCGTCGTTGTATAGTGCGTCAAAATAATCGCGCCAGCTGTTGACGTCACATATTGGGCAATCAGGTGTCGCCCCCTGGTTAAGTTGCCGCCACAATGCACGCGGATTCCCTTTGTATTCCTCAAGAAACGTAGTAAAATGCGGCACACGATGGGCAGCCATTGCCTCCTTCCTAATTCTCTGGTATCGAGAGCGCAGGAGTGTAAAGATATGCCGCGCCTGCTCATCAGCGAGTAGTCCCTGTGGCCTCATATGTGCCTTCTGCAGCAGCATGTCGCTGCGTGCCGCTGCGCATTCCTGGGTCCACCAGGGTGCATCCTTTTCTTCCCTCACACGCTTGGGTGCTGGGTACCGTTTGCTAATAGCCCTCTCCAACGCTGATGAACAGGCTCGAGTGAGTACTTCAACAAACACGGTGCTGTCGAGTTCGCCTCCAAGTTTGCTAACAGCATCTGAAATGCGCCGCACAGCGGGGGCATCATCAGCAGCAAACATGCTCTCGTACCGGCCTTTGTGTTGGACCTCAAAACGTGTCGTAGATTTGTCCCTTCTAGTTGGGTTGACGCCCTCGTGCAGCGCCCCCAGCTCGAGCGACACTGGGCAGTGGTCGCTCATGAGGCTACCAACTCTCTCACCGGTTAGTGCGACAGGAATGTCTAGCACGCGCAATTGGTTCGACTTGAAGAAAAGGGCGGGTGATGCTACGAAGAGATCAATCATGCTGCTGCCGTTCCCCGTCGGACTCCAAAAAGTACACGCCCCTTGCAAATCTCCCTGGACACGCCCGTTCAAAACAACCATCTCCATTTCCTGACACAAGGTAGCCAGGGCCCTTCCGAACACATTTTCAGTTTTGTCTTCTGAAAGGCGTGGCGGAATAGAACGCAATAGGTTGGCTTGCCCCAGCTCAGCCTGAACATAATCCGCTAACTCGGCATCCCCATCAACATCTGGCAGTTCACGGATCTCCGCTACCCTGGAGTTTAGGTCCCCCATCAACAAAACCTCGTCCCCAGGTTGCTGATATCGTCTCATCAGCGACCGCACCCTGTCCATGACGCGTCGTGTTACGCTATCCTGTGGTCTACGTCCATTAGCTGTGTAAGCCCGAGATCCGAGCGGTGCAGCGTAGCAGGCGCCAAGAACCAAACCATTCCCTCCAAAATTCAGGGCTTCACCGTGAATTCTCAGCCAGACACTGTTCATGCCTCTTGGCGCGTCTGTCGATATGCAGTGAGTAACATGATGTGCGATCCGCTGATGCACCCAAACGCAAACACCCCCCCGTTCTCTAAACTTCCCAGCAAGATAGCAGCAAGACCCATTAGGTATCAGCCGAGATAGCCTGCCCACAAGTGACCCGTGCGTTTCAGTAAGTACAACAATGTCGTAACGCAAGGCGAGTCGAAGTAGTTCACACTGTTCTAGTTTCCAGTCGGTCACACCACGTATATTCCATTGGACTATACGAAGCGGTTCATACCTCCGGTTGGCTTCCTAGGCGGTGTCCATTGTCGTACCCCCCGGGGAGGGGGGTGCCCCTCCCGGGGGACCGCCCTGCTCTCGCCCGCGGTCGCTGCCTCTCCACGCTCGCCCACTGTCTCCGCTTCTTAGGTAAAAAATGATACTGTCGCACAGCCTCTATAGGGATTAAGGCCAATGATGCCGTACAGTCTCTATAGGGAAGAAGGCCAATAATGCCGTACAGTCTCTATAGGGAAGAAGGCCAATGATGCCGTACAGTCTCTATAGGGAAGAAGGCCAATGAAACAAGGCCCTAAAGTCGTACAGCCTAACGGGAATTCTATTCGTCGCTGGCTGTACCTGCTAAGCGAGAACTGCAACAACAATTTTGCTTTAAAGTATATGACAGCACGTTTAAGCATATTAATCTTTAGCCTTGTAGCGTGCTTGATGATGTGTGGTGTTCCGCGTCTGCGCCTGATAAATGTGATGAACCTACTAAATCAAATGCAAAATTTACAATGCCATAAAATCGAATATGTAGCTCCTGCCCTTACAAACTTTCCGGCGGCTGCAAGATTTCGCACGGCATCATCGCACGACCGATCTGCGACGCTGTTCTGCCAGTATTTAACCCAATACATAAATGGCATTTACTCTGTATTACATATGGCTTCTTCTTGAAGCATTTTATAAGGTTAGTTTGGCTTCTTCTGCTTCGACGTGTATGCGCCGTCATCGTAGTCATAGGCTGGTCCTTTAGGCGATACATTCATTAAAGCATAGGACTACAAGTCGGTATTAAGCTAGTAAATGCTGGCATTCTCGTTACGATCGCTGACTTTCAGCATCGTGTTGATGCTGGCCATGACGACGTCGGGAGGTACGCAAGGCAACGTTACTGCTCACTGATGTGAAATAACATATCTGAAGTCTCTTATTTAATATGCCTTATTGATTCCCAGGTCATGGTGTAGAAGAAGAAAGGGGCAGCCGGAAACTGGCGATGCGCCCTCACCGCCGCGGTCTCACTTGTGGTTAATAATCGTCGTTGTGTTCCTGGCATTCGGATTCATAGTTGCCGACGCAACTCGTTCAGGTAGGTTGCTTTATGGATAGGTTGATTGCTTACACTTTGCTTCGTTTGAGCAAATCCGCTTTTGGTGCTATACTGTTGCTGCAATACTCCGGCACTCACATGGCGCTAGATATTTGTTTTATTGGTCATCATTCTATCCTGCTGTCGATGCCAGTTCCTACCTTATTTCTCTTGCTGTGTCAACACCCTCTGCAACGGTACTAATTCGATGCAGGTACACGTGCAACAGAGGGCGGCAGCAAGCGACAACAAGACACCAATCATGGTGACAACGCCCTGAAGTCACCACGCTCCGGAGACGACCCACAAGTACCGCCTCCTCCACATCCTCCACCGCCGCCGCTTAACCCCCCAGCGGCTCCTCCACCTCCTAATGACCCGACAACTGCAACTCTGCCAACTCAACCATCCCCAGAAGTTCTGGGTTCAACAGATCATGGCTGCTGTGGCAGCAAATCCACCTGCAATGCAAGTTTTTTTCATGGTAAGTCGAAGGTCATGCATATTTACTAATACTAAATTCACAATTTAGGGTGTGGCACTACTGGTAATGCGTGGCCATTGCCCTCGGGAGATCCCGGGGTCGACGCCTGTCAGGGTCGAAATTTTCCCGATGGTGGAAGGTATTGCGCCCCTAGCTGATGGACGGTGGTGACCTGGGATAAAGTTAACCTGCGAGCCGACCGGGAATGGAGTTGGGCCGCTGTCAACACGGCAGATTCTGTTCGATGCTGGTGGTGGGTGCAGAACCTGAGTGGTCCACTAAGGTGTTGATTAGGGTGACTGGATGAGGGTGCCCCGAAATACTGGGGAAGGCAGCGTTTCGCAGGGTAGCTGCCACGGGTGAACATATACTCCCCTGTTTCACACCGCATATCTAGAGAATCCTGAAAAAATGCAAGCTTGTTAAGATTTTATGAGGCACCCAAAGCATCTAAAATTATGTGCACAGTAATCGTTCCTAATCTCTTCCCCTGTTTCATTCGTTCATTATGCACTGCAGGCTTTCCAGCAAATGCAGCAACAACAGCAACAGCAAACAACCACGCCAACCGCCATCACCTTCCAAGTAAACCAAACTACACTGGTGCCTCTACAAGCGGCATCCACAACGACTACGGAACATCCACAACAACATACCGCACCTTCTGCAAATCCAACAAGTGCAGGCAACGCCTACACTGATGAACAAAGTGAGTGGCAATGGGCGTGTGCTTGCACCCACCAGGATATCCGCATGTACAACGAACAGCATTCCCTGCTAGAAGATCACATGACAGCTGTCGTTGAACAAGCGTTCATGTGTCCATTATGCAGCACGGTGGCACTAGGTAACCAGATGAAGTGCAAGAGGTGGGTTGCAAACCACACTAGATGGTATGCACTTCTAGAGGGTGAAACACTAGATAATTTGCCAGGTGTAGTTGAGTGTCCCCAAAACAAACCTTGGGTTCGTGCCAACAACAGCGGGAATAAGGTTAGGATTTGCATCAAATGCCACGAAGGCAAAACGAAGGAAAGTAGTCCTAATATAAAGTGGTCACGGCTTACTGCAGTTGGTGTTCCTGGCCCCCTCCTTAGCTTCCTTCGCATGTGGGTCCCAAAACAACCTTTTGAGGTTTTGTCAAGTTTGTCCTTTTTGGTCCCACACATCAACTTTGGGCGCATAACCCGGTCCTTTGACTATGCTAGATCTGGGGAAAGAAGACCCTGTTGAGCTTGACTCTAGTCCGACTTTGTGAAATAACTTAAGAGGTGTAGAATAAGTGGGAGCTTCGGCAACGGTGAAAAACCACTACTTTTAACGTTGTTTTACTTATTCCATTACTTGGAGGCGGGACTCTGTCCCTGCTTCTGGCTCTAAGGCGGCTTTATTGCACGCCGATCCAGGTGGAAGACATTGTTAGGTGGGGAGTTTGGCTGGGGCGGCACATCTGTTAAAAGATAACGCAGGTGTCCTAAGATGAGCTCAACGAGAACAGAAATCTCGTGTAGAACAAAAGGGTAAAAGCTCATTTGATTTTGATTTTCAGTACGAATACAAACTGTGAAAGCATGGCCTATCGATCCTTTAGCCTTTCGGGATTTGAAGCTAGAGGTGTCAGAAAAGTTACCACAGGGATAACTGGCTCGATCTAAGATGGGTAGGACAGTGTCTGTGGATGCATGACTTTGGTACCGGTCAGTGACTTGGTACTGGTCAGTGACTTGGGTCCTTGTCCCCAGCTTCCTGGGTTTTTGAGGCCCTTTAACGTGCCACAGTTGTCTGACACTTCGTGTCATGTGCCATCTTTTTAAACATGATTGGCAGTAACATGTTTATTTATTGGTAGTTTTAGGTTGGACGGGCTTACATGAGACGGGTCTCCCAGGATGATTTGGTCATCTTGGATAAGTTCCTCATGTCGTGTTTAAGAGACGTGCATGCGCCTCGGTGCAGTGGGTCCTTGTTAGGGGGACGGTGGATTTGGGCAAGTTACTCAAGCATTTCTGCCCTTTCTTTTGCTTGTACGGTTTCGACTGATCTGCATTGGCTCACCCAGATTTGGTACGAGGCGGCGATGGCCTTCTTCTGTATGCTCCGTTGCAGATCCCCGGTTAGTCGCTTCACATTCTTAATGCCTAACCGGTTGAGGAGCTCCTTGCCGTCGCCTTTGTTGACACCACCGAGGTGGCCGATGGGCCATGCTATCATAGTAGCATTGTATGACTCTGTCTCAAGAAATCTTGCCAGCCATGCATACGTTTCCTCCTCCTTGGTTTTACGGTCAAGATATCGGCATTCAGAACACACAGTTATTTCAGCAATGATTATCTTTTTGTCAGAGTCATTAATGTACATAAGATCTGGCTTTGTGCCCTCGTTTGCCAGTCGAGCACCAGACTCACATCGGCTTGCCCAGTGTGCCTTGGCACTGTCTGGAATTGTGTCTGTGAGGACCCTCCAGCCTGGGTTCATCCACTTTTCTGTCA